CTCTCACCTCCTCTAAGCTTTTGCCCAAATGTCAGTTGAACAAAGCCCAACTTGATAATCCGATTTAAAATTGCAATCTCCCCCATTCCCCTCTAGTTAGTATGGCTTCCTAGGTGGGGCTAGTGGTAAAGAGCCTGCCTGCCAATGCAGGAGATCTAAGAGATGTGAGTTTGATCCCTGGGTCGGGAAGATCCCCTGGAGAAGGAAATGACAACCCATACCAGTATTCTTACCTGGAAAATCCCATGGACAGAGGAGCCTGGCGGACTACAGTCTATAAGGTCCCACAGAGTCGGACATGACTGGGCAACTTAGCAGGAGTAGCAGCCATTCCCCTCACACTGCTTTACTCAGTTATTTATTTATTTGGCCGGACTTCAAGGTTTTGGGTCTCTTAGTTCTGGGACCAGGGACTGAACCCTGACCCCTTTCAGTGAAAAATGCTGAGTCCTAATCACTGGACTGCCTGGGAATTTCTTCTGCTCTACGCTTTATTTTTTCATCCATAGCATTTATCACCAACAACATGTTATATGAATTTCTTATATTAATTTCTCATTTTTTTCCCTAAAATGTAAGACCAATGTATGAATATTTGCCTGCTATACTGATTTATCTTGTGCTCCTAACAGTCTCTGGCACGTAACAGGTGCTCAATAAACATTTGTTAAATCAATGAAAGAAATATTGGGCTTTCTTCTCTGAGCTGATGAAAGGCAGAGTGACATAGCTACTGAAGAAGGAATTCATAGGGCCTGGACTCCATCTCAGGTCTGTCCCTGCTGGTCATGCTAGGCCGCATCTCCAATGGACTCTGAACTCTGTGCTTAGCACCTGTGGAAATGACAATGGAAGGATAAGACCCTCTCTGGGCAGGGGAATCTTGAAGATCCTAAGAGAAAAAAGACACTAATCACCCCTGACTCTGGACAGTATCTATCGGAATGTAACCACAGGCTTATCAGTTATTAACTGGTTGGAATGTAACTGCGGGCTTATTGATTATTAACTGTTTGAACACAGAACGCGTGAATGATGGGGTTATTGTGATTGTATTTACCCTTCCTTTGTAAGCCTCAAGGGATTTGGGCTGGTGGGTTTGGACACGTACACATGGGGTATAAAAGATTTTCACAAATGCTGGTCGGGGTCCTTGGCTAAGAGGAGACTCTGCCTTGGGCCCACCGGTGTAATAAACTGCACTCCACTATCTGCATTGTCCTTCTGAGTGAGTTTGTTTCCCAGAAAGCATGGCTATAACACTACATCTTTATTTTATTTTTATTTTTAGAGGATCACTTTGATTGTTGCATGGAGAATGTATGTTGGGGTGTGAGGGACAAATATATCTGAGAGACCAGAGAGGAGACTACTACATTTATCTAGGTAGGAGTTGATGATGGTTTGGGTCAAGGTAGTGGTCTGCATAAATTCCCGGGAGTGCGGATGCCTCTGCTTCGCAGCGCTCTCCTGGCAGGGCACAGGGAAGCGGCAGGTGGCCATGCACTCGGTTTGCTCCTGGACTGGCTCCCATGTGGTTACTTCTCCATGTCACCTTCACTGTGGAAGCCTCCTCAGCCTTTCCTCTAAGCTGAGGTTCACCTCTCTGAAAGAGGAGCTTGGGCATTGCTGAACTATATTGATCTCTGCAAAAGCAAGATGCATTTTCTCCTGAGGTCTGTGGCAGTCAGCTCCCAAATGAAGCTTACTTAATAAAGGAATTAGTTCCAATTGAAAAAAAAAAATTCCCGGGAGTGAGAGAGACGTCCAGGAGGAGTGGTTTGGGTGGATTGGGCAGGGGGGCATGGTTAAAATGGGAAACCCCAGAGAAGAGCCAGATTTGGAGAAGGTAAAGAGCTCAGTTTGCTTTTTGTAAACCATTCAGATTTTATTTATCTTTTTAAACTAATTTTTATTGGGGTCTAACTGCTTTACAATGTTGTTAGTTTCTACTATACAGCAAAGTAAATCAGCTATATCTATACATACATCTCCTCTTTTGGGGATTTCCTTCCCATTTAGGTCACCATAGAGCACTGAATAGAATTCCCTGAGCTATACAGTAGGTTCTCATTAATTATCTATGTTATGTGCATGAGTGCTCAGTCGTGTCCAACTCTTTGTGACCCCATGGACTGCAGTCCATCAGTCAGCTGTCGGTGGGATTTCCCAGGCAAGAATACTGGAGTGGGTTGCCATTTCCTCCTCCAGCAGATCTTCCCAACCCAGGGATCAAACTCGGATCTCCCATGTCTCCTGCATTGCAGGCGGATTCTTTACCACTGAGCCAGCTGGGACTCTTTTATACACAGTATCAGCAGTGTGGGGCTTCCCTTGTGGCTCAGTTGGTAAAGAATCTATCTGCAATGCAGGAGACCTGGGTTTGATCTCTGGATCGGGAAGATCCCCTGGAGAAGGAAATGGCAACCCACTCCAGTAGTCTTGCCTGGAGAATTCCATGGACAGAGGAGCTGGGCAGGCTATAGTCCATGGGATCGCAGAGAGTCGGACACGACTGTGCGACTAACTTTCACTTTTTCATCAGCAGTGTATACAGTCAATCCCCAAGTCCCAATTCATCCCACCACACCTCCTTTCCCCTCTTGGTGTTCATATGTTTATTCTCTATATCTATGTCTCTCTTTCTGTTTTTTTGTATGTGTGTGTGGGGGGGGGTTGTTGGAGTTTTTTGAATTGTGCTGTCTTCATGATGGCACATGGGCTTTTTGTTACACTGATTTCTCCTGTTGCAGGGTTTGGGCTCTCTAATTGAGGCATTAGGGCTTAGTTGCCCCACCACGTGTGGAATCTTAGTTCCCTGACTAAGGATCAACCTGGGTCCCCTACCTTGGAAGACAGATTCTTAAACTCTAAACCACTGTATCTGCTTTGCAAATAAGATCATCTATACCATTTTCTAGTTTCCACACATATGCGTTAATAAATGATATGTTTTACTCTTTCTGACTTACTTCACTCTGTAAGACAGTCTCTGGATCCATCCATGTCTCCACAAATGACCCAATATCATTTCTTTTTATAGCTGAGTAACATAGGAGCTCAGTTTTGAGTGTGTTGCATTGCATCTGATTGACCTGTGAGAATATCCAGATGGTGAGGTCCTAGAAGTCCTAGAAGCCTGTGGGCTTTGGAGCCCAGGAGCAAGATCTGGGCTCAGACAGAGCTCAGAAGCTGTAATCTGTATGGAGTAAGAGAAGACGTGGGTGGAAAAAAAAAGTTGCTTCATGTGGCAGTTTGTATTTTCCAAAGATGCTGCACCCCACATGCCCACATGAACTTCTCTTTTTTTAAAACTTAATTAATTATATATTTATTTATGGCTGCACTGGGTCTTCACTACTGCACACGGGCTTTCTGCAGTTGAGGTGGGTGGGGGCTACTCTGTGTTTCAGTGTTCTGGCTTCTCATTGCTGTGGCTTCTCTTGTTGCAGAGTACGGGCTCTAGGCTGTGTGGGCTTCAGTAGTTGCAGCATGTGGATTGTAGAGCTCAGGCTCACTAGTTGTGGCGCCTGGGCTTAATTGCCCCATGGTATATGGAATCTTCCCAGACCAGGGATCAAACCTGTGTCCCTGGCATTGGCAGGTGGATTCCTATCTACTTCATCACCAGGAAAGTCCCTGAACTTCTTAGTTTATGATTTTGACACTTCTTCTATCAAGAGGTGAAGTTCTGGTTTCCTTCCCATTGGTTCTAAGCAGATTTGTGATTACAGTGGAAGGGATACGAAATGATGATGTATTAAGCTAGATCATAAAAGATGATACCGGTTCTACTTGGTTCCCTGGAGAACCTTTACTGGGGACCTGAGTCGTCACATAAACAATCTGATTGCCCTGTATTTTTTAATTATTTATTTTTTGGTAATTATTATTTTGGCCATATAGGACCCTAGTTCCCCAACCAGAGATCGAACCCACACCCCCTGCATTGGAAGCACAGAGTCCTAACCATTGGCCTACCACAGGAGTCCCTGACTGCCTTGTATTAATTATCTGTTGCTGTGTGACAAATTACCCTCACAATATAGCAGTTCAAAACAATAAATATTTATTATCTCACACGGTTTCTTTGGGTCGGGAATCTCGGAGAAGCTGAGTTAGCTGGTTCTGGTTCAGGGTTGCTTACATAGTTGTGGTCAAGATATTGCCCAGTGGTCCAGTGGTCAGGCACCACACTTTCACTGGCAAGGACTTAGTTTCAATTCCTGGTCAGGGTACTAAGATCCCAAAAGCTGCATGGTATGGGCATTAAAAAAAAAAAAATGTTGCCTGAAACTACAGTCATACGAAATCTTGACTAATGCTGGAGACTCCACTTCCAGGGTGGCTGTCTCACATGCCTGGCAAGTTAGTGCTGGGTGTTAATAGGAAGTCTCAGTTTCTCACGAAGAGGACCCCTCCCTCGGGCTGCTTGGGTGTCTTCATAACATGGCAGCTGACTTCACCCAGAGTCAGTGATCTAAGAGGGAGCAAAATGGAAGCCACAATATGCTAATGACAGCCTCCAGAGTCATAAACCATCATATCTGCATTATCCCATTGGGCCAGGTCAGCCCTATTTAGGGTGGGAAGAAATTACACAACGTTATGTATACCAGGAGGTGGAAATCCTGGAAGACAGTTTTGGAAACTGGTTGCTGTGGCCTGGAGTCTGCCATGCTGTGAGGAAGCCCAAACCAGCCCCCGTGGAGGTGTGGCTACATGGATTCACGGAGAGTCCCTGAGGCTACACAAAGGGGAAGGGGCGTAAGTCTTCAGGGGCTCAGTGCTAAAGAATCCCCCTGCCAGGGCAGGGGACACGGGCCGGGAAGATGGATCCCACATGCCGCAGAGCAACTAAGCCCTTGAGCCAGAACTACGCAGCCTGTGTTCTAGAGCCCTCGCATCACAGTTACTGAAGCCTGTGAGCCTAGAGACCATGCAACAGGAGAAGCCGCCATGAGAACCCCTCACACTGCAACTAGAGAGTGTAGGGTATAGTTCGGGGGAGGCAGAAAAGGAAAGACGACCTTAACAGAAGTAGGTTACCTTTATTCAGGCAAGGAGGGGCGACAGACAGCCTAACGACCAGGCTGAGCGCCGAGAGGGATCAGGGAGGCTGCATACTTATAGGGAGGTTTGTGGAAGCGATAAGGGAAATGTCAATCAGGCGGGATATTTTGAGTATTCTTCTGTTGAGATGACATTTGTAGTTGGGCAGGGGGTGATAAGTCTTCTGGGCGGGTGTAGGGGGTGGAAGGTTTCCGGATAGGGGGTGATAAATCCCAGATAGATGCAACCGGCCTGGAGCATCAGGGTGGAACTAAAGTTATGCTTTGTTTTCCCCGAAGTTAGATGATTCAGCAAGGGGCCTTTGAGACTGCTGTTCTCTTTTCTAGGCCCAAAAGACTCCTTCAGAGGGTAGCCTCCATTTGCCGAAACTAGAAGGAAAGCCCACAGACAGTAACAAAGACCCAGCACAGCCAAAAACAAAGAAGAGAGAAGTCAAGTTATCAGCCTCCCATTGCTCCAATATTAGTCATCATCTGACTGCAGTTATGTGAGCCAGTACTGCCAAGGCAAAATTCTCATATCGAATTCCTAACCCTTAAAAACTGAGAGAAAATAAAAAGGTTGTTTTTTTCTTCAGTCATTATTTTTGTGGTAATTTGTTGAACAGCAGTAAGCCCGCAATGAGTCCTAACTTACTGTATTTATATCCTTCTGGAGTCTCTTCCCACACTGAACAGAGCTGACCTGACCCAATAAGATAAATGACAACATGTGACTTTCAAGGCTGAGTCATAAAGATACTGTGGTTTCTACCTTACTCCCTCTTAGATCACTCATTTGGGAAGAAGTCAGCCATGAATAATAGGAACATGCCAGAAAAATGTGGAAAGAGCTGAGAAACTGGCCTAAGTCATAGTGTTCTGTACTAGATTCCTATTGCTGCTGTAACAAATTACCACAAACTTAGTAGCTTAAAACTACATGAACTTATTATCTTACAGTCCTGGAGTTCAGAAGTCTGGCATGGGTCTCATTGAGCTAAAATCAGGATGGCAATTGTTCCTTTCTGGGGAAGTCCCTGCAGGTCCAATGATTAGGACTCTGCCAGTGGTCAGCACTCTGCACTTCCACTTTGGGAGCAGGGGTTTGGTCCCTGGTTAGGGAACTAGGATCCTGCAAGCCATATTGTGAAGCAAAAAAAAAAAAAAAGAAAGAAAACTTCCTCTCTGCAGGCTCTAGGGGAGAATCCATTTAATTTTTCCTGCTACTAGAGACCACCCACATTCCCTAGCTCACTCCCCTTTCCTCCATCTTCAAGGCCAGCAACATCACATCTCTTTTTGCTTTTCTTCAGTATCACACCTCCTTCTGACTCTTCCGCTGCTCTCACTTTTAAGGACCCTTGTGATGACATTGGACCCATAGGATAATGTGTTTTAAAATCAGAAGATTAGTAGCCTTCATTCCATCTGCAACCTTAATTCCCGTTTGCCGTGTAAACTAACATGTCCACAAGTCCCAGGAATTAGGGCACTGACATCTTTGGGAGCCTGGAGAAGGGAATAGCAACCCATTCCAGTATTTTTGCCTGGAGAATTCCATGGACAGAAGAGCCTGGAGAGCTACAGTCCATGGGATCACATAGAGTCAGACATGATCGAGTAACTAATACACACACCACAACACACACACACACACACACACACACACACACACACATCTTTAAGAGCCATTATTCCACTGACCACATTGTCTGCAAGAAGAGAAGTGGGCCTGAGAAGCAACAGCCAGGGAGGGTGGAGGGCAGTTTAGAAGAGTGAAATATAACAAAAGCCAGAGGAAGACAGGGTTCCCAGGAAGGATTAATATTGTTGGGAAGTTAAGCATGATAAGAACTGAAAAATATTCGTTGAATTTAGCTTCCTGGTGATACAAGTTATCTGGGGAGTACTGGGGGCAGGAGCTAGTTTATGTTGTGTTGGGCAGCAAGGAAGATGTAAGGAAGTAAAGGCTAAGAGTGTAAAATCTTCTGAAAAAACAAAAAACAAAAAACACCAAAAACTTGTTGTAAAGGGGTAATTATTGCAGCTTCTAAAATGGGGGAAAGTTTCAATGCAAATGGAAGGAAAGGAAGCTATAGGTGAGGGTGTGTGTGTGTGTGTGCTCAGTCGTGTCCAACTCTTTGCGACATGGAGCCTGCTAGGCTCCTCTATCCTACGGAATTTTCCAGGTAATGATACTGGAACAGGCTGCCATTTCCTACTCCAGAGGATCTTCCCGACCCAGGGATGGAATTCGCGTCTTTTGCACCTCCTGCATCGGCAGGCAGATTGTTTACCACTGCGCCACCCGGAAAGCCTATCGCGGGTGAGATGGCTCGTCAATAAACGCTGTGTGTGAAAGGGAGAGTTCAGCTAGCCCATCAAAGGGTTCGAAAGGAGGGACTGTTGGGTTGATCTGGGCTCAGGTTTCGCCAGGTGGCGCCACAATAGAACAGAGGTTAGGATACTGTCCAGGATACGGCGAAGCTGATGGAGCTGGGAATATAGGAGAGAGACGTAGAGATCGGCCAGCAGGAGGCGCTGGTGCAGCAGGAGGGAATGGCTGGAGAAACTAGGTGGATTGGAGGCTATGCTGTCGAGATAATTTTAGGGAAAACGCTTCGTTCTTGATCAGATCGCAGTATGCCCTGGATTCCCTGATCCGCTGGTCTCTAGTTCCAGGATTCTCCAAAGTTAAAACAGGGCTTGGACTAGAGTAAACACTATATATTGTTAGCCCGATTAATATAATTTGTAAAACTCCGGAGATTTCATTGCCCTTGAGGCACTGCAGCCGCCCGGACTACAATTCCCATCATGCCTGGCAGGCCGTCAAATCCATAAATACCCATGCCCCCTGAATCGGTTTTCCAGTCCCAGCATGCCTCAATTGTTTTCCTACCACGGCAGCACGCTTGCCAAATCATAGGAACAACCAATTAGATCAGGGAGTGGGAGACCAGCAGGCCAATCGTTCAGTTAGAGGGGCGGGAGCGGGCGAGGTCAAATCTGGCCCCGCCCCTGCCCCGTGGCCAGTTCGTTTCCGGCTGAGGCTTCGGGCGGGACCAGAAGACATGGGCACTACCTGGCGGAGTCCGGGGTGGGTGCGGCTCGCGCTCTGCCTCGCGGGTTTAGTGCTCTCTCTCTACGCGCTGCACGTGAAGGCGGCGCGCGCCCGGGACCGGGATTACCGCGCGCTCTGCGACGTGGGCACCGCCATCAGCTGTTCGCGCGTCTTCTCCTCCAGGTGCACGAAGAGTGGAGGGCTTGGGGGACCGCTGCTCGTGGGAGCGGTGCATGGGGTCCAGGTGTGCATGGCAGCCAGGCTGCCAGATCAATCGGGGGTTGGGTTTCCCGAGGAGCGGACGCGCGGGACCAGGCTGCTCAAGGGAGCGTTGCCTGGAGAAACGAGTGTGTCCAAGATAGGCGTGTGGAGCTAGGGGGGGCAGATAGTGCTGGGGACTGGGATTATTCGAGGGGATGCATGTGAATCCTGATGACAAGGAATAACAGTGACCGGGCAGGACACAGGGAGATGGGGTCGAGTGGAGGAAATGATAATGGTTTTAAGGATGGGCGTGCCTGGCGACGAGGTGGCCAGGTCTGGTTATGCTTGAGGATACAGAGTTTGTGGGATGACCTGAGACAGAAGAAGGGGGAGGGTGCCGGGGGCGCTGGAGATTTAGGGGTCCAAGGCAGAGAGATTCTGTCCTGGTTTCCCAGTCTCTGGTAACTCTGTGAAATAAGATGAAGGGTTATACGGACCTTACCATCATAGGATTTATTGAAAGTCTAGGATGAAAAGAAGAGCCTATGGGAGAGCCATGGCCAGGCCTGATCTGGGGATGGGGGAGGATAGGGGCAGTGACATGGAATCCTGCCTTGGCCAAAGAAAGGCTATGCTCCGAGGTCACTGACCCTTGGACTCATGTAGGGGTTGGGGGGAGGGTGAGATGGGGAAGGACAGCCCAGCTGGCTTCTTGGAAACAACCCTCCCAGGATAGGGCTCAGGGCACTGGGTTGACACTCCTAACTTAGACACCCCCCCCCCCACCAGGTGGGGCCGTGGCTTCGGACTGGTGGAACACGTGCTGGGCAAAGACAGTGTCTTCAATCAATCCAACAGCATATTTGGTTGCATCTTCTACACACTGCAGTTGTTGTTAGGTGAGTGGCCTTACCCTCTCGTGACAGCCTCCTTCCCCTCTTGGCCAGCCCAGCCTGAACTCTTGCAGTCTTGGTGACCCAGATGGCCAACTAAATGTGCATCACTGAGCACCAAGGAGGTGGGAACTTACAGGAGTCTTTACTGTCAGAACCAGAGGGCCCTTAGAGACTTCCCAGGAGCCCGGTTTTCTAGAACAGACTCCTTTCTGGGGGAAACCCAAGGGTTGCTGTCTCTCATCTCATGTAGAGCTCAGCAGGAAGATTCACTATTTTGGTCCCAGGGACTGTTAACACGTAGGAGAACCAGGGTCTTGGTGGGGCCTGTCTGAGCTGCTCATTTTAGAGGCTCTTTCCCCAGTAGCCCCTGCTGTCTGGGTGGCGCCATGGAGTCATGGCGTGTTCTAGTAGTGGCCAGTCCCCAAAGCCTGCGTCTGCCCCTTTTCTGCCTTACAGGTTGCCTGCAGAGCCGCTGGGCATCTGTTCTACTGAGGTTGAGTTCCTTGGTGTCTCTAGCTGGTTCTGTGTACCTGGCCTGGATCCTGTTCTTCGTGCTCTACGATTTCTGCATCGTTTGCATCACTACTTATGCCATCAATGTGGGCCTGATGGTGCTCAGTTTCCGGGAGGTCCAGGGACCCCAGGGCAAGGTCAAGGAGCACTGAGTCCTCACCCCAAGCCAGAGTGACCTTTGCCCAAGAAGGCCACATCTGGGTTCTTGGAAGAGTCTGCAAGTTCCCCCCACTATACTCCCCACACAGGACAATGGACCAAACGTGCCACAGTTTCCTCCACCTTAGTGCCTCTGTTTCTGTTCCCAATGGCTGATTTCCAGAGCTCCTGCTGTTGCTCAAGGAGGGAAGGTTCGGAGCAATAAAATTTCTTAAATGGCCAAATCTGAGCCATCTGTCTGCCAGGGACCTTAGTGTTTGGCTTCCCCTGATCTTTCCTCCTCTGGGACTGGAAGATATGAGTCAGAGGGAGAGTGGAGGGCCTGCCTGGGAAGGGTGGTTAGTCCCTTCTCCAGTATGTGGAGTCAGCAAAACCTGGGGCACCATCAGCCCCCACCCCCAGCAAACAGGCTGGTAGTCTTCTGTGCCTGCTACCCACAGAAGACAGGCCTCATCTTCTGGGGCAGCCAGGTATGTGCTTGCAAGGGTGAGCTGACTTTCTGGTTCTGTGCAGACGTGCCTGGAAGTTCTTCCTGTAGTCTAACCTTAACCCCTCCAGCTGCCTTATCTACCACTAGAAGCCAGTCTTGGTAACCCTGGAAGGAAAGGGACAGGATGTGTTTTTGTTTTTCCTAATGTATACTAAGTACTTATCCACATGCAAAGCACTGTTTAAGAAACATGCCATCTGTCAACTCATTTAATCCCTATAGCAATTTATGAGGTAGGTATTATTACAGTCATCCCTTGGTATCCATAGGAGATTGGTTCCAAGACCCACCCCACTTCCCAAACCAAAATCCAAGGATGCTCAAGTTCCTTATATTAAATGGCGTAGGGAAGTCCCTGGCGGTCAGTGGTTAGGACTCCAGGCCTTCACTGCTGTGGGCCAGGGTTCAGTCTCTAGTCAGGGAACTAATTAAGATCCAACAAGCCATAGAGTACACCAAAAAAATAAATAAAATGGTGTAGTATTTGCACATAACATATACACATCTTCCCATATACTTTAAGATATACTTTTAAGTCATCTCTAGATTACTTATAACATCTAATATAATGTAAATAGTTGTAAATACAATGTAAATGCTAGGTAACTAGTTACTGGCAAGCAGTACACTCAAGTTCTGTTTTTTGGAACTTTCTGGATTTTTTTTTTTTTTTTTTGATCTGCAGTCGGTCGACTCTGCAGATGTGGAACCTGTGGATAAAGAGAGCTGACTGTATGTCTTGAGGAGGAGACTTGAGGTTCAGAGAGGCTAAGTAATTTGCCTAAGATCACACAGCTAGTTTGGGGGAGGGGTTAGGAAGCCCTCAGGATTTGAATCTACCAGGTCCATATTAGCTCCATTGTCTGTTTTAAACCCAAGCCACAGCTGCCTCTGAGTTGGGGCCATGGTTCCTAAAGAGTCTGGGCTGGTCTGAGTTAGAGAGAAAAAGAATTCACCCTGAGTATTCTTGCCTCCTGATTGAGTTTTCCAAAATCCAAGGATGCTCAAGCCCCTGAGTTTTCCAAAATCCAAGGATGCTCAAGCCCCTTAATGTTCTAGGGAATTCCCTGGTGGTCCAGTGGTTAGGACTCTACACTTTCACTGCCATGGGCCAGGGTTCCATCCCTTGTTGGAGAGCTAAGACCCCACAAGCTGCACAATGCAGCCAAAAAATAAAAATAAAATGGTGGGGGAGGTGGGCCCCACATAACCCTGGTTTCCCAGGAAGGTGCCAGAAAGGCATTGCGATTTGCTAGCTTCAGCCAGCAAGAAGCAGAGAGCCTGACCTCTTGACACCCAGTCTAGCACATGCTGCCTCTGAAGCAAGATGGGAGAAGGTATGTGAAACCCACTTGGATCCAGGCCTAGGAGAGAGGTGGGAAAGGCCTGCCTACTGTGCTCTTCACCTGTACCAGCTCCCCTGCTGGGAGCAACTTCACTCTGCCAGGCTGCGGTTAAGGCATTTTTACATCCAACAGCCCTGAGCTTTTCAGACAAGGCATGAGGAGCTAACTGTCCAAAGTCATTCACGTGTTAGGGGGATCTGGGATGTGAACCCAGGCAGTGAGGCCACGGCTGAGGCCCAGGGAGAGGTGGTGAATAGCCCAGGGTCACACAGCCACAGCCCCAGAGCAAGAAACTGCTGGCCCCCTTCCAGCCCAGCAAAAGCAATGACACCTGACTCCTAGCAAATTGGGGGTGGAGCAGAGGTGGAGCTAGGGAGACCCAGGTGGCCTCTCTTGAGAACCAGAGCACAGGCGGCAGATTGACCTGGAGCAGCATGAAGCAGAGCTGGGGACTGAAGCTGTTCATCCTGGGAGCCGTGGTCCTCATAGAGGGTGAGTCACCCGGGTTTGGGGGGGGGGGTCACGGTGATGGTTTGAGGGCTGTCCTCTGCCAGAGCAGCCCCTGAAGCTGGGTGTGTGGGAGGGAGCCTGCCTGGGGGGGGTGACAGTCAGCCTGTGGCAACGTAACTGTGTCCGGGTGTGTGTGTGGGGGACACGTATGTGGCCGCCTGTGTCCAGATGGGTGTGATTTCCTTGGACTGTATTATAATCTGCATCTGCAGAACTGTCATTATGCCTGTGTGTGTACCCTGTGCCCTCACTGGCCTCTCTCCTTCCACAATAGCTTTAGGCAAGTTCTGGGGCCCTTTGGTCTCAGTCTCCCCGTCTTTACATACATCCCATCTCTCCCATGTTCAATGGGTGTGTTTGTGTGTGCCTGTGATGGGGAAGAGGCAGGGCAGGGGACCCTTTGGTAGAGTCTCTTTCTAAAAAGACGGGGGAGGCCGAGTCGTCAGAATAGGGGTGGGGTGAGTCTCAACTCCTGACGCCCTCCGCAACTTGGACATGACGCAGGCCTCTAATCCTTCCTCTTAGGCCTCCACAGCCCAGGGCACAATTAAGCTAATGCTCTCCACAGGCACAGGCTGCTCCCTGACTCAGCGGTAGGGGCAGGAGTTGGGGGTTCTGAAGCCTGGAGGAGGGTTGGCCTGGTCCCAAGCTGAACCCCAGGCCCCGCCACTCAATGCCCAGGAGTGCTGAGCACAGCACTGGGAGAGGAGAATTAATGACTGAGTGTACACTCTGAATAGCTTCCAATAAAAGCTGTTTCTTGACCTCATATAAATATTTTCATTCTGGGAGGGGCCGGTGTGGTAGCCACAGATGGAGTCATAGCAAGGACCCCAGGCCAGTCCCCCCAAAACATGTCCCCTCCCCCAAGGCTCACCTGTGTTTCTCTTCCCAGGTCTTCAAGCAGCTCAGCGTGGTAAGTTCTGGGGCTGTGGGGCCTGGGCCTTACTTGGGTCTGGGTCGTGCTGGGGGTGAGGGCAAGCCAGGGGCCTGCTGTCAGCTGATTCATGTCCCTCCACAGCATGCGGGCAGCGAGGCCCCGGTCCCCCTGAGCCTCAGGAGGGAAACACGGTGCCTGGCGAGTGGCCATGGCAGGCCAGCGTGAGGAGGCAGGGCATCCACATCTGCAGCGGGTCCCTGGTGGCAGACACCTGGGTCCTCACTGCAGCCCACTGCTTTGAAAAGTGAGTCATGGCTGCAGTCAAAAGATTTCTGGCTTTGGGGTGGGTGATTTGTCCCCAAGCCCTGCAAGACTGAGCCCTGCCCCTAGAGTAACAACCTACCATTTATTTAAAATGTGCCACATGCCGGGAACACACTATCAGATTAATGTCAAACTTCCGTGGTAGAAGTCTTACAAATGTGACAGCTGAGGCTGGGAGGATGGCCCTTGTTCAAAGCCACAGTTTGTCCGTCTGTCACCTCCTTGTGCTGTCTCCTATGGTGTCATTGTCTCTGTTGGCACTCAGTGTTTGGGTCTTATCCCCTCTCCCCCTTCCAGGGAGGCAATGACAGAACTGAACTCCTGGTCAGTTGTCCTGGGTTCTCTGCAGCATGAAGGTCTGAGCCCAGGGGCTGAGGAGGTGGGGGTAACAGCTCTGCAGCTGCCCAGGGCCTACAACCACTACAGCCAGGGTTCAGACCTGGCCCTGCTCCGGCTAGCCCACCCTGTGGCCCACACACCTCTCTGCTTGCCCCAACCTGCCCATCGCTTCCCCTTTGGGACTTCCTGCTGGGCCACTGGCTGGGATCAGGACACCAATGATGGTAAGTGCTGGCCTGAAGCCCAGAGAGGTACTTGGCTTGCCCAAGGTCACAGAGCCTCAGCTGCTAACTGTTCCCATTCCCCATCTCCCTTGCTCCTCTGGGCCCAGACTTTGGCCCCAAACCCCTCTCTTTTGCCAGCTCCCAGGACCCTACGGAATCTGCGCCTGCGTCTAATCAGTCGCCCCACGTGTAACTGTCTCTACAACCGCCTACACCAGCGGTCACTGGCCAGTCCGGCCCGGCCCGGGATGCTGTGTGGGGGTCCCCAGCCTGGGATGCAGGGGCCCTGTCAGGTCTGGGGAGGGGGGCAGGATAGGGGAAGGGAAAAAAAAAAGAGGAGGGGGCCTGCCATAGGCTGGACACTCAATCCACAGGGATGGGTGGAAGGGTGGCCCACAGCAGGTGTCTACCCAGGGCTGGGGCTCAGATGTCTGTCTCTGACAACACTGCCCATTTCAGGGAGATTCCGGGGGTCCTGTGCTGTGCCGCGAACCTGATGGACACTGGGTTCAAGCTGGGATCATCAGTTTTGCATCAAGCTGTGCCCGGGAAGACACTCCTGTGCTGCTGACCAACATGGCTGCTCACAGCTCCTGGTTGCAGGCTCGAGCTCAGGGGGCAGCCTTCCTAACACAGAACCCAGAGACCCCGGAGATCAGTGATGAGGACAGCTGTGTAGGTATGAGCAGCGGGTGTCAGGAGTGGGATGCGGGGGAACCTCCCCCTGGGCTGCATGAGGACTTCTGGGCAGCAGAAGGTGGGAGCCACAGTGGAATAAATTTCAGTTCAGAATAGAAAACTGACTAACGAGGCATCCACACACTGCCACGGGCTAACAAGGGGATTTAAAGGACCCTTTCAGACCAGGATGGGAACAGCTCCATTTATGTCTGAGACATAGACACTTCAGAACTTTATGCATTTGGGTTCAGGTAAGAAGAGGAATTTCTGGTACCTGGCTGAAGGTCTGGGGGGGGGGTTAGATGCAAATTTCCAAGCAGAGACTCCACAAGATTGGAGAGGGCAGGGTTCCCACTCAGTAGGGCGTGAATTCTGGCGTTAAGTGACTAACATGCAAATAGCATGCAAAATAATTCCTGGGATGGAAGCTCTATCTTGATGGGAAGAGAAGCATCAGTGAGCCAGGAGTTCTGGGGCCATTCCAAGCCCAGAGGGGTGCAGACAGGCGGGGTAGAGGAATGATGAGTGGGCCACTCCCATGATGCTGGACCATCAGGGTTAAAGCTTAGACCCTGGGTTTTGAATCCCAAGTTGGCTACTTGCCTGTGGTTACTGAGCTAGAAAGTCTCTGAACCTCTGGAATGTTGGTTACTTCAGGAATGAAAATAACAAAGATTCAGCTTAAAAGGATAATGTAAGGATATTCAGTAGCACACAGGAAGCTCTTAGCGCAGGGCCTGGCATGCAGTGAGTGCTTAAAGGAGGCAGATGATGTAATGCATCTGTTTCAGCCTGTGGATCTCTGAGGAGAGAAGGCCCTCAGGCGGGAGCTCCCTCCCCGTGGCCCTGGGACGCTAGGCTGAAGCACCAAGGGAAGCTAGCTTGCGGTGGAGCCCTGGTGTCAGAGGAGGTGGTGCTGACTGCTGCCCACTGCTTCATTGGGTGAGCCCTAACTCCCTCGCCCTTGTGACCCAACTTCTGACGGTGGCTCTGCCACCCAGTGCTCTCAATGCTGTCCTTGCACAGGCGCCAGGCCCCAGAGGAATGGACGGTAGGCCTGGGGGTCGGCCCAGAGGAGTCGGGCCTGAAGCAAGTCATCCTGCATGGGGCGTATACCCACCCGGAGGGGGGCTATGACGTGGCCCTCCTGCTGTTGGCCCAGCCTGTAACCCTGGGCCCCAGCCTGCGGCCCCTCTGCCTGCCCTACTCGGACCACCGCCTGCCTGATGGGGAACGCGGCTGGGTCCTAGGGCTGGCCCGCCAAGGAGCAGGTGTGTGGACAGGAGAGGGCGCCCAGCAGCTGGGCATGCAGCCTGGAGGCTGAGGTAGCAGCTGGGTCTTCTCCCTCACCCTGCAGACACCAGCTACCCTCAGACAGTGCCTGTGACCCTCCTGGGGCCCAGGGCCTGTAGCCGCCTGCACGCAGCCCTTGGGAGCACTAGCATTCTGCCGGGGATGGTGTGTACCAGTGTTGTGGGCGAGCCGCCCGGCTGTGAGGTGAGCCCCACTCCCCTAACGTCACCCCACAGGCCCCTTGCCCTCCCACTCACAGCCTGACCTCTCACCTGTAACCTTTCTGCCAACTGACTCCCAAAGAGCCAGACCCCCAGCCCCGGCCCCTCCTGCCCCATGCAGCCGCCTAGGGAGAAGAGGAAGTCACAAAGCAGAGTCCCCTGACCTGACCCCTTTCAGGGCCTGTCGGGGGCACCGCTGGTGCACGAGGTGAGGGGCACATGGTTCCTGGCTGGGCTGCACAGCTTCGGAGATGCCTGCCAAGGCCCCGCAAGACCTGCTGTCTTTGCAGCACTCCCCACCTATGAGAACTGGGTCAGCAGTTTGGACTGGCAGGTCTACTTCGCTGAGGAGCCCGAGCCCGAGCCCAGAAGCTGTGCGGCTAACATGAGTACGTGGCCCTGGGGGCTCCTGCCAACACCTGCCTCCACAGACCCCTTCTCTGCCGGCCTGGGGCCGTCTGTCCTCAGCCACCTCCAGCTGCGGCGGGTGGAGCTGTGGACGGAGTCATGGGGATTCAAGTACTGGCTCTTGTCATTGACTGGTTAGGAGTACACCTCTCAACCTGTGCGGCCCTCACTTTTCTCATCTGTCATAGGGGCTCAGGGGCACCTCCTTCCTCTTCCTTTGAGGGAGGGAGGGAAGCTGTGAGCTCGAGACCAACCCCACCCTCCTTCCTCTCCCTGACAGGCCAGCCAGCCAACTGCTGACAGGTGGCTCTGGGACGCTGCAGTCACAGCAAGGCAACTCCCACAAAATTGCTTCTCTCCCATCCAGCCCCCTGCCTTTCCCAGGCAGGTCTGACAGCGCAAAGGGCTCTGGGAGGGAACCTGCCCTGAAAGCTCCACCCTGCAGGACAGGGAGATGTCGCCCGTGGATGCCCCCCACCCAGCTCTGCAGTCCAACACAGGCGTCCCAAGCTTTTCCTATTCTTCATCCCTTCAGATCCAATGACACCAGCCAAGTACTTGGAAAATTTCTTTTTTGGGGGGGAGCAATTTTCCTGTTTTTTTAAACTTAAATAAATTGTTACAAAATAGACTTTAGAAAATAAGTTACAAATTGTAGTAAAAGGCTCCCCATCCACAGGCAACATTTCCACCTGTGGGGGTGCTCTCTGAATCTGCCTCTCCCTGATGTTGCAATCTGGCTGGTAAGGGTGGCCCAGCATAGTGGCCAAGCCGGGCACTGGGTTTCTTGGTGGGGCTGGTCATAGGAAAGAACCTGGTGACAAAAGCTGGGGCAAAGGAGGTCCCTCAAGGACAGGACAGAAGGAACATCTCACCCCCTCCTTGGGAAAGAAGCCAGATCTGGGTCCTCTTCGAAGGAGGAGAGGAGAAAAGAGCTGGGGACGCCCAAACTACTCCTGAGCAAAACAAGGAGATCAAGCCTTTCCCTGCAACTCGCCCTGCACCCCCCCACCCCCCCACCCCATATTCTGATCTTTGGAGACTGGAACTTCAGAGGGAGAAGCTGAGGTCTGCAGGCCACTGGGGTGAAGGGTCCAGGAGTGGGGCCGTGGGGGTGGGTGGAGGAGGCAATGACAAGTCCCCTCTGCCCACCGCTGGTGCCTTTGGGGTTCCTGGGGAGAGAGAGAGGAGGTGACTGAGGGGGCAAACCCCACACAGCATGTACCCTGCTCCCAACCCCGAAGGCCATACCCCACAGTCCTGTATGCGAATTCCCAATTATTTTCCCAGACCTGGCTAATTAGCTCCTTGCTCATTCCCTTGGGGGCCACAAGAAATCTTTTATTCTAGTATATGTGCTGCTGAAGCGAGCACATAAAATCTTTTATTCTAAAAGCCACATTGTCAGCACTCTCGGGAATCTCACCGCTGTCCCCCCACCCCCACCCCCCACCCTGATGATCTCTGGTCAAGGCGATCATCCACTCTCTCAGGGACACCCATGCACTAGATGGAAGGGGTCTTGGGATAAGGGCTATAGGCTCCTAGAGGAGGTGGAGAGTGAGCCTGCAACTTGCAGAGACAACCAACCCTCCCATTCCTCCACAAGTCTGGGCGGAGGTGACTTTCCATGAAGATTCCCCTGATAAAGGACGGGAGATAGAGGCTAATGACTGTTGTTGCCACAGCTGGGCCTGGCTTCAAAGAAACAATTATCTGTGACTCAGTCCTCCAGTTAAAGGTGTGCTGGCCGGGACGGGGGTGTGCAGGTGGAAAGGGTGGTTTGGTTGGATCCCAAGAAGGAAATGCACAGCACAGAGAGAAGGATGAATAAAGGGAAGAAGAGACGTGGACCAACATGGGTGGGCAAGGGCCAAGGGTCTAGTTTCCCAGAAAAGAGGAGGGGGAGCAGAAACAAGATATGGGGAAAGAGGGACAGGGCGCTGAGTGCCAACAAGTGACCTGGTTTCCCAGAACAAGTCAGCATGGAAGCCACAAAGCAGCCCAGTCCGGGGGTGCCTCCTATGCCCCATTCCTCATTCCCGGGATCCTGGCCTACTCTAAGAAAGAGCTGAACTGAGACTATCTTTTTCTCCGGAAATCATTACTTAACTGGCTGGATCAGAAGGGCTTCCAGAGGTATCTATAGTAGCCAGATGGTAGCTGGCTACCAGTCCTCCCCAGACAGAAAGACCATTCCTCTTTGGCACAGCAGGGGAGCCCTAGCAGCTGACCCTGCCACCCGGGCACTGCACCAACCCACGATGCTCCCTACTTACCTGACTCATGTGGTCAGATCTCAGCCACTCAAAAGGCAGCATCCTCAACCTAGCTTTCTCCCTATCCCAGCCTGGGCCGCCTCCTGGAGTCCCCATGATCCTCTCACTCCTTGCTTTCCTGCCCACCACGGGGCCAGTGTTTACCCTCCACTGTGTGCCCACCTCCTCCAAGACCCTTCGGCCCTCTGCCCACGCCTGCTGGTGCCCCCGTACCGGAGCTGGCCACTGTCCACTCTTCCTGGTGCTGCTGCTCGTGCTGCAGGAAGCTGATGTGACGGCGGAAATGGCGGGGACAGTGGGGGCAGGAGAAAGGCCCCTCCCGGGGTGCGTGGACCCGCCCGTGGCCCTCCAGCCGGGCTGCCGTCCGAAAGGCCTTGCCACAGATGCTGCAGCGATGGCGCTTGGGGTCCGTGTGGGTCCTGCCATGGTTCTTAAGGGACAGCAGGTTGGGAAGAAGTTTGGGACAGAGGGAGCAGGGGTAGAGTCCCGTAGTGTGAGCCTTCTGGTGGTTCAACAGGCTACCGGCATGGCGGTAGGAACGCCCACACTGGGCACAGCGGAAGGGCCGCTCCTCGTGCACAGCCACCGCGGACTCGACACCCTGGCCTCCATTAGCTCTCCCCACATTCTCACCTGGGGCCCTGGGGAGTTCTGATGGGGCTTTCCCTTGACCAGGGAGTTCCACCTCCTCCTCCTCAGCCCCCACTTTGGGACTTCTGGCCTCCACCTGGGGTGACACCTGACTGAGGTCCCTGGTATGAGTCTGCAGGTGGCTGGCGAGTTCATGGTGGGACTCAAAGGCCTCGCCACAATCATGGCAGGAGAAGGTCTGGGCATGTATGTGGTTGCGGCTGTGGCTCTTAGTGGCCTCAGGATTCAAGAACTCCTTGGAGCAGAGCAGGCAATAGTGACGGTCAGTCTTGTGGGTGCTGTGGTGGTTCAAGGGGCCCTCTGACTGGCAGGAGATCTTGCCACAATGGCTGCAGGAAAAGGAGTGGCTCTCTGGCTGGGGCTGAGGGCCACAGTCTCCACTGTCCCAGCTGTCCACCGGAGTCAGACTAGGTCCATTGGGCTGGGTGTTGCCAAGGGGACAAGGACTTCTGGGGACACTGTCCCCTGGCTCGTCTTCTGGCTTGGTCAGTACGTGGCGCCCAGGAACCCAATCTCCATCATGATTCTCCGGTCCCTGGTCTCGCCACCCATCTGCTTCCCCCATGCCCCAGGATGCTGGCTCTGTGGCTTCTAAACCCGCTGCCCTGATGGGGCTCTGACTTGGCTCCGCTGGCCTTGTGGCTCCATCCTCCAGCTGAGGTGCCGACTCAGTACCACCCGATCTGTCCTCCAGTGCCTGGTTGTCAGCCAGTTTCCCCTGACCACCCTCTGTGCCGTCTGGGCCTCCTTGACCACCTCTGGTCTCGTCCTCGTGCTCTCGCAGGTGCCGTTCCAGGGACGCCCGGCCAGGGAAGCCCCGACCGCAGAGGGCACAGCGCACAGCTGCCCGCCGGGACAGCCCGGCCCGCCGCCGCCGGCTCTCCGAGTGCAGCCTCTGGTGGTCCCTGAGGGCCATGCGGTTGGAGTAGGTCTTGGGGCAAGTGGGGCAGCTGTACTGGCCTGTCTCATGGCTGCGCCGGTGGTTCAGGAGACTGCCCGCGTGACGGTAGGTCCGCCCACACTGCCCGCAGCGAAAGGGCCGATCTTCCCGGGACAGCTTGTGGGAGCCACCACCCCCACCACGCTCCAGGTGGACCCGCTGGTGGCTGGCCAGCTGCTTCCGCAGGCGGAAGGCCTTCCCACACTCAGCACAGCGGAAACGCCGGGGATCGGCGTGGATGCGCCGGTGGTTCTTAAGGGACATGAGGTTGGAGAAGCCTTTGGAGCAGGCCTGGCAGCCAAAGTGGCCGGTCTGGTGGCTCTGCCGGTGATTGATGAGGCTGCCGGCGTGCTTGTAGGAGCGGCCGCACACCTCACAGCTGAAGGGCCGCTCAGAGCTGGCTTCTGTCTGGCAGCCCTTCTCCGCTGTCTCCAACCTCGGCTCCATCTCCTCCCCCTTCACAGTCGTCTCCTCCCAGGCCTCTTCTTTCACTCTCGCCCCCTCCTCCAGGGGCTCAACTTTAACTTCTTTCTGGAACCTCTCCACTTCAGCCTGCTCGAGGCCCTCCTCTGCCAGAGTTTGGGCTTCACTGTTGGTTTTTGCCTCTGGGACGGGCCCCACCTGGGGCTCTGAGCCTTTGCAGCGTGGGTGGTTTCGCAAGTGATTGCGGTAGGCAGCCAGGTTGGGGTAGCAGCGGGAGCAGACAGGGCAGACGAATTCCCCAGTCTGGTGTATCTTGCGGTGGTTCACCAGGCTGCCCCCATGCCGATAGGTCTTGCCGCACTGGTTGCAGCGGAAGGGGCGGGGCTGGGTCTCCAGAGAACTTTCCTCACCCTGCCGGCAAAGGCTGTCAGCAAGCGTGTCACCTACACCCTCACCCGGCTTTGTGTCCCCACCCTCTGCAGGGAGAGAGGTCACCATGCCCTCAAAGACACCATCTGCCACCACCACCGTGGCATCACCTGACTCTGCTGGGTGATGCATGAAACTGGGAACCTCATCAGTGGTGTTCCCGGAATTCCGGCTTTGATGGTGACGCTCCAGGCTCCCCAGGTCATCGTAGGTCTGACCGCAGCAGCCACAAATATGGCCATACCCAGCGCCATCCAGCGCTTCCACCTCCCGCTGCAGCTGATTCAGCAGCTCGGCTTCTGAGAGCTGCAGTGGGGGGCTGTGGATGGAGACTGCCCCTGAAGCTCCTTCCTCCTCCCCCTCCTCTTCTGAGCCCTCAGTCATGCCAGAGTCATGAGCCTGGCGCCGGTGAAGCCTGTAGCCAGCCCGCCCAGGGAAGATCATGCCACAGAGGCAACAGAGGAAAGGCTGGGTTGAGACGGCCTCCCCGGGCCCGTGGTTCTGGAAGTGGCTGCGCAGGGCAGGCAGGGAGTCAAATTCCTTTGGGCAAAGGGAGCACTGATAGATACCCGGTGGGTGGCAGGGCCGGTGGCTCAGCAGGCCGGTGGCATGGGGGAAAGAATGGCCACAGTCAGAACACGTGTGGGAGACTTCAGCCGGCCAGCCCGCAGAGCTGGCAGAGCGGGAAGGGGAGCTGAGCTGGCCAGGGGCTGGTTTCTGGTCTTCCTCCACCCCAGGGAGGCCATCGCAGAAGCGAGTTCCATTGCTTTCCTCAGTGCCTGGGATGTCCACGTTGTCAAGGAAACAGGCCTCCATCCTTTCCAGTCCTTCCTCGGTGCCTCGGCTCCCTTTATCACCCTGGAAACAGGCCTCATTCCTCTCAAGCCCACAGTTGTCCCTTTCGGCTGCAGCCTGCAAACAGCCCCCACTACTTTCCACGTTGCCTTTGGCTTCACTCGGACTTGCCCTGGAAGAGTCTCGGGGACAGCCCAGGCCCTCACTGTCCGCTGGCTCCGGGGCCCAGTTCCCGTCTGATGGGGGTTTGGCTTCTCCCCCGCCGCCGGCACTGCCAGCCCGCCTCCGGTGCCGCCTGCTCCGTCGTCTACTGTGGCGACGCAAGTGGTTCTTCATGGCAGCCATGGTGTGGAAATGTTTGGCACAGGCCCCACAACTGAAGTCTCCCGTTTGGTGGGTCTGCCGGTGGTTGATAAGGCTGCCTGAGTGGCGATAGCTCTTGCCACAGTCTCGGCAAGCAAATACCCGAGGAGGCGACTCTCTGGCCTCGGTCTTGCTCTGTGCCCCTTCCCCGTGGGTCCGGCTGTGATGTTCAAGGCTCTCAGAGTCTTCAAAGAGCATCCCACACATGCTACATATCTGTGGTGCGGTCCGATCTGCTGCTGGGGGGACAGCAGGGGCCCCCTCTTCATGTTTGCACCCAGGCCCTTGATCGGAAAGTAGAGTTGTCTCTGGCCCCACTGGGTCAGGTGGGACCTCCACCTTGAGGTGGCTGGGGGGACCCTCGGCCCCTGGGCCTGTGCTGCGGCGGGCAGCCTTGCAGTGTACCCGCACGTGGTTGCGCAGGGCCATGAGGTTGGGGTACTTGCGGGGACAGAGAGAGCACTGATACTCTCCTGTCCGATGGCTGTGGCGGTGGTTCACCAGGCTCCCCCGGTGCCGGTAAGCCCGACCACACTCATTGCACTTATAGGGGCGGTGGTCTAAGGTGGTGGTGGGGGCCTCTGTTTCTTTGTGGGTGGACTCAGCCAGAGGCAGGGGAGCTGGCAGCACTGATGGCTGCCCATCCTCTCCGGCTCCTTGCCGGGGCCTGTGATGAGCCCGCACATGGTTTTTGAGGGCAGCTGCATTGAACAGCTGCTTCGAACAGATGGAGCAGGGGTAGACACCTGTCTGGTGGCTCTTGCGATGGTTGATGAGGCTCCCAGCATGGCGGTAGGTACGGCCACAGTCTCCACAGCGGAAAGGCCGGTACTCCTCCAGGCCGATGTCTTCCAGCTCCCCAGACGTGCTCAGCTCCCCTGAGCCATTCAGCATCTGTGTCCCAGGGAGCATGTCCTGGCTGCTCTCATCTGTGTGCCCATTGGTGGTAGGCATCCCTTTCTCTTCCCACGGCTGCTCCTGACTTTCACCCTCATGGGACTGCTGGTGTTCCAGCAGCTCTCGGGGGAGCCGGAAGGCACGGGGGCAGTGGGGACACTGGTAAGGCCGATACTGGGCATGGAGTCTGGAGTGATTCTTCAAAGCCATGAGATTAGAGAACTCCTTGAAGCAGATGGCACAAGGGTAGACGCCCAGGGTGTGGCTCTGGCGGTGGTTGGTGAGGCTGCCAGCATGCTTGTACGTCTTGCCACACTGACTGCACTTGTACCGCCGCTCCTCCTCAGCAGGAGCAGACTGGGTGGGCTCCTGGCCCCCGGTAAAATTCACTACTGATTCAGCCAGATATTGTTCCAAATTGCTAAGGAGACTGCTGGCTGGGGTGGGGAGTGGAGTGTCTCTGGCAGAGTTGGTGGTGGGACCCCAGCCCTCTACACCCTCCTCAGGATCAGGATGACTTTCCAAGCCTTCTCTTTGTCTGGTGGGTGGATCTTCCCATGTGCCCAGAGCTGCCCTAGGGTCTGGCCCAGACTCACAGCCAGATGTCTCTTCAATATGTTTTTTCTGGTTTTCCCAGCCTTCCCCAGGGTCAAGCCTCTGGGCCCAGGAGTCAGTGGACACTGTCTCCCCCTGGAGACATGGAGTGGCTTCCTTGGGGCGGGGAGGCCTGCGCCTCCGACGGCCTTCAGGAGCATGAGTCCTCATGTGGCTCTTGAGCGCCATGGGGTTGGTGAAGTCCTTGCCGCAGGTAGTACAGGGGAAAAGGCCAGTCTCGTGGGTCCGGCGGTGATTGACCAGGCTCCCTGGGTGACGATAGCCCCGGCCACACTGCTGACAGCGGTAGGGCCGAGGGATGCTGTCGGCCTCGCTGCCCTGGCTAGAAGATGGATGGAGCAGTTCTCGGTGCCGTAACAGTTCTGGGAGGCTAGGAAAGTGGCGCTGACAGTCAGAGCAGCTGAGTGAGGTGGGCGTGTCCTCCATGGGGCAGTGTGGCAGAAACCTGGAGGTTCAGGAAGAGCAGGCAAATGGCAGCAGCATCTTCCTCTGATGGAGGGTCCAAGGCCTAGGAAAAGGGGGCAGTGGTCAGAAGGAAGGCCTGAATTAACTTTGCCTCTTGATTTTATTTATGAGCAACAAGTTCACCAGAGGTCACAGTTACCCCCAAGTAGCAACGCCCAGGGACCTGCTCTCTAATAGATCTATTCTGGAAATACCATTTAAAATTTCTCTAAATACCGGCTCCCCAAATATGGAAGCTCTCCTAGGCCTAACTAATGTCTAGAAGTATATATAAGGAAACTAACATCTAAAGGATTGCATCCCATCTCTAATCACAAATGTATTATCCTGTCTTTAGACCAAGTCCCAAAAACCTTACTGTCCCTAACCTTCTGCTCTCTATAATTTTGAAACAAACAACCTATCTTACGTGACATCTTAACAGGAAACTTGTACCTCTCCTAGGACCTTCAATAAGGTAAGTCCAATCCTCCATCTTTCACTCCTCAGCTAAACAGAGTAGCTTAGAGGCACTGAAAGGGGCTTCCCCGGTGGCTCAGACAGTAAAGAATCTGCCTGCAATGCAGGAGACCCAGGTTCAATTCCTAGGTCAGGAAGATCCCTGGAGAAGGGAATGGCAACCCACTCCAGTATTCCTGCCTGAAGAATCCCATGCAGAGAAGCATGGTTGGCTACAGTCCGTGGAGTCACAAAGTCGGACAAAACTGAGCAACTCTCATAGAGATGCACTGAAAAAGGAGCCTTTCTCCAATAGACAGCCTAGGACCTGAGAGGTGAGGTTAGAGGCCTCCTACAGGGAAAAGGGCTGACTTGTTCCCCCTTCTGCCCTATTCCTTTCAGGGTCACAAAATCTCCTTTCTGAAAGACTCTCTTGAGTTCCCCGGATTCCAAACCATCTTCCATCTTGGAAATTCCATCTCCTTTCTGGTACTTCGCCCCTTACCTTTTTCTTTCCCATTATTCATCACTTTTCTCTCTCCATCTCTTCTCGTTTTTCCTTCTACCTTCTCTCCTAATATTGATGACAACAGCCACCCGTGCTACCTAAACATTACCATGTGCTAGGCCCTTTGCTAAATAAAGAAAATTCATTGTGTCACCTAGTTCTTACAACTCACTGCAATGCCTCTATTATTCCAGTTGACACACGAGGAAGCCCACTCAATCTTCCTTCCAAAGCCTTTACTCCACAGCAGGCCCCCAAGCCTCCTACATCACCTTGGCCTTCTGACTCGGACTCTTAACCCCCTGGGGTCCCCAATACAATTCCTATCTCCGACTTTAAACCTCCTTGCTGAACCTGCTCCCAGAATTCTCACTTCTCACAAAGCCCCTTCGCTCAAGAGTCTCCTCTCCGAATCAACTACCAAAGAGGTCCTCTTGCCTCATTCATCTCCTCAACCAGTTTTCTCTTAGGACCCCTACCTCACACCGGTGGCCCCTTCTCGTTCCCGCCGCGGGTGCGTCCGTTGGGGACCGCGAACGGGAGTGCGCCTGCGCAATGGGACCCTCACCCTAACTGCAGCCGCGCGCCCCAAAGGATGGCTGTGCGGGGGCTCTCGCGCTCCCACACACGCACACTCTGCAAAGGCTCAAGGAAGTGGAAGAGGAGGGAAAGAGGGAAAGGAGAGGGGGAAAAGGAAGTAGGTAGAGGAAAAAGGGCGCAGCTGGCACAAACCAGCCGTCTATCGCCCAGCTCCGCGGACACTTCCTATTGTTACTAGGAAACAGGAAGTGTCCTAGCCTCAAAATCTTCCCCGCGAAACTTCCGCCTTAAAAATGCTTCTGTCCCGCCTCCAAGCAGCGGTTATACACAGACACATTTCCGGTGCTAGGAGAGAAGCAACTAACGCACGACTCCGACCCCGCCCACGTAGGTCAAAGAGCTCGTTGTTCTGCACTAACCTTAGCCACACTTCCGGGAAGATCCGCTAAAATCGTTCCGGTGCAAATTGACTGAGCACAGAAGAGGGGGGGGGAAAGCGTTCTGCAGCCCTGGCCTGAGTACTTGGGCGACACTTATTGTGGGGTTCCCTGAAAAACTTCTCAAGCCAGATGGAGGGAGCGTCACTTACTGCTTTCTATTAAGGCAAATGTTGTGGAATATAGGCAGATTTAGGTACTACAAATCTTGGACATGGCCTTTCTGTCCTCCCACCTTCTAGTTCACGGTGATCTAGCTCCACGCTAGCAACAGTCGGTGCACCCCGTAAACCTATTCCCGTGTCCCTTGTCATTAGCACCCAGAGAGACCCCTTGCAAGGTGTTTCTCCGCCACCTTCTCTTGGGGCTGCTCCGGTGAACTTTGTCTTCCTCCCTTGCCCGGAAAGCTCTCTTCCACTTCCACCCCCACCCCCCGCTGGGTCCTAGCGCCTGCCCCTCCCTGGCAGAGTCCCGAGCTCTGTCGGTGAGAGGAGCTGCAGCTGACGCCACGAAGCCAGCCCAACTCTCTTCAGGTAGGAAACGCCGGCGGGAAGATGCAGAGATCCTCGGGCAGCCCCAATGCAGACGCAATCCGGGAAGGCCTCAGTTTCCCTCTGGGTGCCTAGGGCGGATGGGGTTGGCCTGGCGCGAGCGGTGCGGGCGGGGCGGGAGGAGTGCGGCCCCGGGAGGGCGCGGGCGGGCTCCAGGCCCAGCGGGTCCTAGAACCCGCCGGCTGTCCCGGCGGGCCGGCAGCGGCAGACGCCTGGGCTTAGGCGGCACGGCTGCCCGCGTAGTGCCGTGCGGACCCGAGGGTCCTAGAGCCCGCCATGTTGCGGGCTTTTGTCCCCGGCGCGCTGCCCGCCTAGCATGGTCCCTGGCGCCGGCGGCCCCCCCGCCCCGGTCGAGGTCCTGGCCGCCCCTCCCGCGGTCCTAGAGAACGCCATCTTGCAGGCCTTTGTCCAAGGTCTGGCCTTCGGTCCATTCATTTGTTCATTCTGTCCTTCTTCGTTCACCTTTTTGCTGTGTTCTCCGAGGCCACGTTTTCCCAGGGCATTTCCTGAGAAGAGCCAGCCCAGGGCCCTGCCATGTGGGGTTGTCTGTCTGGCACAAGCGCCGACACGTAGACAGTTGCAGGGAGCAAGAAGCACAGCGTTTCTGCAGCTCTTGGCTCTTAACGCCCTTAAAACTCCCACATGCCTTAGAGACCCCATTTTACTGATGAGGAAACTGAGGCCCAGAGCGCCATGGCGCTCTTACCTCTACTGCCTGTTAAGTCTTCCTGAGGACATTGGGGGAGCAGGTAGTTGAAGAATGCAAAAAGAGTTTTCCCACTGGAGAAAGCAGAAGGAACTGCAATATGGAGATGGATTTAGGTGGGGAAATTTGAGAATTGTAGCTGGAGCTGAGGTCGTTGTTGGGCGGGGGGCAGGGGGGAGGGCCATACTGCCGCCAGAGGCGAGGCCGGAAAAGTGAGTTGGGATTACGTAGTGGACTGACCAGATTGGATGCCTGGGAGACGATTAGCTCTCATCTCTGCGTGGTTCACAGTTCCCCATCTGCCATCTCACCGGATCCCTCATGGCCTGTGAGGCCTTTTCGTGCCTGCTTGTTTAGACGTGGAGAGACTGAGGTCTGAGAACATTAAAAAAGTGGCTCTTCACTGTCCCTGCCCGCAGGGTTCTAGCTTAAACTCGGAATTAAATATCTCGATCCCTGGCGATAAGAGTCTTCAGGCAGCAGGAAGTCATCCCCCTCCTAAATCCAGTAGTAAACAAAGATAAGGCTCCCACACAAGAGCAGTGAATCCACTGGGATATTTGGACCTTGTGAACTTGGAAAGGCAAAGAAATTCAGTACAAACTCCTGTTATGGGGGAGGTGGAAGCTAGAGACCTGGGTTCAGATACTGTCTCAGAGGTTCATCTGTTCAGTTTATTTTGGGGCACCAAGCATGGTTCTATTTGTAGAGGGTACAAAATAAAGGTACCTGGCTCTGTGCCAGCCTAAACGCTTGCACTGGAGACAGAGAATTAACAACTGAAACATAAGATATGTAAGTGCTAGCAAAGCAATAATCAGGGGACAGAGAGCTGAAGTTTGGGAGGCAGACCATCTGGCTTTGAGTATGGGTTGTGACCATGACTTCTTACTTCCCTTCTGTGTGCCTCAGTATCCTTGTCTGTAAAATGGGGGAAATGGGGAAAACACTACTTAAGGTAGTCTGTTCAGTCTATAATAAGTCTGTTATATAACAGACTCTACCAAGTCTGACTGTAACCAAAACCAACAAATGATAGCAAACTGGGGGCACAATGGAAGTTTATTTCTCATGGTTCTGGAGGTTTAGGTGTCCAAGATCAAGGTGCTGGCTGATTCAGATCCTGGTGAGACCTCCCTTCTAGGATTATATATGTGACCACCTTCTAAGTTCTCACATGACCCTTTCTTCCATGCCTGCACATATTCATTCATAACAAACTTCTAGGAAGTTGTGAAGCTTAGCTTGAGTAGTACACATAAAATGCTTAGAATGATACCTGGCCCTTGGTATATTTGCAAGAAATGTTATCCACATGAACAACATGAAGGAGATTAAAGAGGAGGGGAACAAAGAGTGATTAGCAGGGATGCAGATAGCACTAAGAAAGGTGGTCAGGGGCTTCCCTGGTGGTCTAGTGGCTAAGACTGTCCTCCCAATGCAGGGGACCCAGGTTCAATCCCTGGTAGGGGAACTAGATTCCACGTGCCATAGCTAAGAGTTCGAATGCCACAACTAAAGATCCTGCATGCCACATACAACACCTGGTGCAGCCAAGTAAACTTAAAAAAAAAATTTTTTTAAGTGTCAGGAAAACCCTTTTTAAGGAGGTGACAGGGAGCTGAGACCCAAATGGAATCAAAGAGATAGCTACACAAAGATCCTTGGGGAATAGTGTTTCTAGCAGTGGACACAGTTAGTGTGAAATCCCTGAGATTGGAAGGAATTTAGGTCTTTGAGGGTGGAAAAGGAGGAACCTGTGTGGGTGGAGCCTAGGGAGCCAAGGAGAGGGGAGTGGGAGATGGGATAGGCAGGAGTTAGGTAGTTCATGGCCTTGCTGGCCATGGTCTTTGTCTTGGGAGCCCTGGAAGTTCTCATGGTTTGGCTAATAAATCTTAAGTAAATGAAGAACAGTAGAGAAAGAGCCCAGCCCAGGGACTTGCAGATTTGGGTTTGAGTCTGGGCTCCTTGACTAGCTATGTGTCCTTGGGTAAGTTTTTTCGCTTATGGAGGCCTTAATGTCCACATCTGAAGAAAAAAAAAAATGTTAAAAATGCCTCTCTCCTGGAAGCTTCTGAAGATCCATGGATGTGTCTTTGGTTCTTAAATGTTAAATGTTGGTTGGGATGACCCAGAAAACATGTTGAGAATAGGTTTATGACTCCTACCCCATGCTCCCTGGATGATGATCCTCATGCCAGGAGCTCAGAGTCTTCACTGTAAGGAGTGGTGGGTGGAAGAGTCCTCTGTGAACAGGGAAGTGAGGAGCTGATAGTGGGGTTTCAGACAGAGCCTAGGCTACCTGGCCCTCCACTGCTGCTGGAGCTGATATCTTCTGGGACCAGCCTGGTGCTCCCCTCCTGTTTTCCCTGGGAAGTGCTTTAGGACAGGTTTACCCTTCCAGCTACCTGCTTTCTGGCTCAGAGGGGGAGGTTGAGGCTCAAAGCTCAGAACCCCTGGGTCCAGCCCTCTGAGAGGGAGACAGAAACATAATGGGGACTGGCTCTGGTCTCCAGGCAATTCTACAGGGATGTGAAAAGACCAAGGTGTAACCTGAGCTCAAGAGTTCTCGTCCCCATGGGGCTAGCCCAAGCAGCAAAGTCTGGGAGGGCCCAACAACCCAAGGCAGATTAAACACCTGGATTTCAAGTCTGCTGCATGAGTTATTAGCTATGTGATCATAGGTTAATCACTAACCTTCTTGGAACCTCAGTTTTGTTTTTAATAAATTTTATTTATTTATTATTTTTGGCTGTGCTGGGTCTTTGTGGCTGTGCACTGGCTTTCCCCAGTTGTGGCAACTGGGGCTACTCTCTAGTTGCAGTGCCTGGGCTTCTCATTGAGGTGGCTTCTCTTGTTGCGGGCACAAGCTCAATAGCTGTGGCACATAGGCTTAGTTGATCTGAGCATGTGGAATCTTCCCAGGCTGGGGATCGAACCCATGTCCCCTGCATTGGCAGGTGGATTCTTAACCACTGGACCACAGGGAAGTCTAGAACCTCAGTTTATTCGTCTGTAAAATGAGAATAAATAATCCTGATCTCAGAAAGCTATGAGAGAATAAGGTAGCACATGCAGCAAAGTATCTGGCTCTGATAAGATTCAGTAATTGAGGGCAGTAATTATTATCTCATTCAGCCCTTCCCAACCCTGTGAAGTAAGTCCTGTTACTACCTCCCTTTTTTCAGATGAGAAAAATTGAGGTCCTGGAGCAGGAAGTACATTTCTCCGGGTCAATGTACAGCTAGGAAGTGAGCAAGCTAAGAGTCAAAGCCAGGCAGTTCGACTTCAGAGACTGCACTTAACCACAAAGCTACCTTGTTTCTCTGGGCCTCAATGCCTTATCTGAGAAAGAAGGTTAATGATAGAACTTATCTCCTGGTGCCCATGTGAAGGTCAAGTGAGTTAATGCATGTAAAGAGCTTAGGATATTGTCTGTTATTTAGCAGGCACTCTGTACATATGAGCTCTTATTTTTATTAAGGAGACTGTCAGACTGGCCAGAGATGATCTGGAAGGGAGGTTGTGAGAGCCTCATCCAGGGATAAGCAGATCCCCTGGAAACTGTAGGTGGAATTCAGCCCTGGGGAAGGTGGGGCCTCAAGCCCTTAACTCACCTTCCAGTCCTAGGATTTAGTCGGAAAAGTACCAAAACCAAGCTGGGGGTGGAACAGAGCTGTGTAGGATGGGGGTCAAAAACCAAAGGGAGATGCGGGATGAGCTTCCTTTGGGAAGTAAGGCTCCAAAAGGAAGGATTGGTGAGATCCGTAACAGCCAGGAAGGATCTGGGAACTTGTGTGATGTGATGGAAGCCATGGGAAGTTCCTGAGTAGGGGACCGAGCATTACATGGCACCTTAGGGAGAAGACTCCAGCTGCCTGTGCACACTAGACTGTGTATGTGGGGGACAGGAACCGAGGCAGGGCCACTAGGCAGAAGGATGCTGATTCTAAAGATGCACCCCTTGCCACTCACCCTCAGAGACTCCTGCGTCCTTCCTGGGTGATAAATTAAAGCCACCAAATCCCTGAGGTATACGGATGAGGAAACAGGCCCAGAAAGGAGAATCCTGACCTCTCATCTCCCAGTCCACCTTCTGGGCACACGTGGCTCCCCTCCCCTCTCCATAGTATTGTCCTCGCCCCCCATCCCTGGCTGCCCCCAGCAGCTGCTGCAAGCACTCCTTAAGTGGATCTGCTATAATCCTCTTCCCTTCATCCCCCAGGGAGGATGAGCTGGTGTTAAGACTAATGTAGCCATTAATCCTATTTCCTCCCAGCCATGATCCCCAGGAGCAGCTGGGTGGAGGGTGTCTGGACTCTGAATGGAAAAAGAAGGGGTCGTGGCTACAGCCGGGTGTCCCAGGAGGCCAGGCCAGAGCAGATACATTGAGTAGGAGACAGAGGCTTCTAAGTTCTGCTAGCAGTGGCTCAAGCCGCTTGGAGAGTGACTGAACTCCCCATTACCAGAGTTATGGGAGCAAGAACCAAAGGGCCATTCCAGAACAGAGGGTGGACCAGGATTCCTATCTGGGGTGGAGTATCTTACAGCTGTGCGAGGCCAGAATTCTGTGCGAACAGTTGCTGCCTCTGACAGCTAACCAACCAGAAAGGAAAGACAAGATACACATGCTGGGGACCTACCCTTCCAGACAGATGATGCCAATCACCACATTTAGCCCGCTGGCTCTGCCCTCCTCTGGACCCATGTCTCTTTCCTGAGCACTTAGAGACCTTCAGGCCAGACTCACACCTGGGTAGCCTCCGTGCCTGCAGCCTGGCACAGGTCTTGGACGCTGAGGTTAAGAACATGAAGATGGTGAGATGGACCGAGCCTGGGCCTTCTGGGAATGCCACAGGACTTAGAGAAGCCCAAAGGCTGGGGAGAGAAGTGCCAGTGAACATTTGGATGACCCCAGCCTCCCCTGTCGGCTCCTCTGAGGTCACCTAGTCCAGCTCCTTTCATCAGTGAATGGACCAGAGGGGCAACAGGAGCACAGACAGGACATGCACCCAGGTGGGACATGCAGATAAGTTAAGAGTTCCTTCTGAGGCCTCCGAGGGCTTTGGTAAGGAGAGAGTCCTTGGAGAAATCAGAAAGGGGTGTGGCTCCTAACTTTGATTCTCTTGCAGAGAAGATCCGCCCATCGAGGCCATGGAGGTAGAGTCTCCGGAGGACCGGTCCCCAGCCCCCGGCTACAAGCGCTCTGGCCGCCGCTACAAGTGCCTGTCCTGTACCAAGACATTTCCAAATGCACCCCGGGCAGCACGCCATGCTGCCACGCATGGGCCTGCAGACTGCACTGAGGAGATGGCCGAGGCGAAGCTGAAGCCAGAGACAGACCCCAAAGTGGAAGATGCCAGCGGGGACAAGGTGTCAGGTGCAGCAGCCAAGCCTCGGCCCTATGCTTGCCCGCTGTGCCCCAAGGCCTACAAAACAGCACCAGAGCTGCGCAGCCATGGGCGCAGCCACACGGGCGAGAAGCCCTTCCCTTGCCCCGAGTGTGGCCGCCGCTTCATGCAACCCGTGTGTCTGCGCGTGCACCTGGCCTCACACGCTGGCGAGCTGCCCTTCCGCTGCGCACACTGCCCCAAGGCCTACGGCGCGCTCTCCAAGCTAAAGATCCACCAGCGCGGTCACACCGGCGAGAGGCCCTACACCTGCGCCGACTGTGGCAAGAGCTTCGCCGACCCCTCGGTGTTCCGCAAGCACCGGCGCACTCACGCAGGCTTGCGACCCTACAGCTGCGAGCGCTGTGGCAAGGCCTATGCAGAGCTCAAGGACCTTCGCAACCATGAACGGTGAGGGAGGTGGACTAGGTGGGGGCCTCTGAAGGGGTTGGGAAGAGTGCACCAATAGGGTAAAGGCGTTGAGTCCCAGAGAGCGGAAAGAACCAATGGGAAGGTGAGTGGGATCTAGCGGAAGGATCTATGGGAGCTGGAGGGTCTTCTGGTACATGATTGGCCTGGGTTCCTAGCGCACAGGGAAGGGGACGGGGCTTGAATTTGGGCTGCTCCTAGGGTCTTTGGTCCAGTGCAAGAGGTGCGAGTCGGGCCCGGGTCTGGGGCGTGCAGTGATGGATCTGGAATCTACACCTGTCCTGAAGGCTTTTTACTCTGGGGTACAGTGCTGTGGCCGGTAGACCAAGGCCCCAGAGAGGTTAGGGGGTCCTAACTTACAGTGCAGACAGGCAGCGGGGATCAGGCAATGGGCTACCACCTTCACACCGGGTCTCCGCACTCCCACAGGTCCCACACCGGCGAGCGCCCCTTCCTCTGCTCAGAGTGCGGGAAGAGCTTCTCCCGCTCTTCCTCTCTGACTTGCCACCAGCGCATCCACGCCGCGCAGAAGCCCTACCGCTGTCCAGCCTGTGGCAAGGGCTTTACGCAGCTCAGTTCCTACCAGAGCCACGAGCGCACGCACTCGGGCGAGAAGCCCTTCTTGTGCCCGCGCTGTGGCCGCATGTTCTCCGACCCCTCAAGCTTCCGGCGCCACCAGCGGGCACACGAGGGCGTGAAGCCCTACCGCTGCGAGAAGTGCGGCAAGGACTTTCGGCAGCCGGCCGACCTGGCCATGCATCGGCGGGTGCACACGGGCGACCGGCCGTTCAAGTGCCTGCAGTGTGACAAGACATTCGTGGCGTCCTGGGACCTCAAGCGGCACGCGCTGGTGCACTCGGGCCAGCGGCCATTCCGCTGCGAGGAGTGCGGGCGAGCCTTCGCCGAGCGAGCCAGCCTTACTAAGCACAGCCGGGTGCACTCGGGTGAGCGCCCCTTCCACTGCAATGCCTGCGGAAAGTCCTTCGTGGTCTCATCCAGCCTGAGGAAGCACGAACGGACCCATCGAAGCAGCGAGGCCACAGGGGCTCCCCCGCAACAGGAGCTGGTGGTGGGGCTGGCACTGCCGGTCAACATGGCTGGTGAGGGCTCCGCCGCCCCGGCATCAGGGGCAGCGCTCGGAGACCCTCCAGCTGGGCTGCTGGGGCTGCCCCCGGAATCGGGTGGTGTGATGGCTACCCAGTGGCAAGTGGTGGGCATGACGGTGGAGCACGTGGAGTGCCAAGATGCAGGGGTTGGGGAGGCTCCTGGTCCCTTAGGGGCGGCAGGTGAGGTGGGGGGTGAGGAGGTGGATGAGAAACCACCCCAGTTTGTGTGCCGGGAGTGCAAGGAGACGTTCTCCACGCTGACATTGCTGCGACGGCATGAGCGCTCCCACCCAGAGCTCCGGCCCTTCCCCTGCACCCAGTGCGGCAAGAGCTTCTCAGACCGGGCTGGGCTGCGCAAGCATAGCCGCACCCACAGCTCCGTGCGCCCCTACACCTGCCCCCACTGCCCCAAGGCCTTCTTGAGTGCCAGCGACCTGCGCAAGCACGAACGCACCCACCCTGTGCCCATTGGCGCCCCCACGCCCCTCGAGCCCCTCGTGGCTTTGCTAGGAATGCCTGAAGAGGGACCAGCCTGAGGTCCAGGTCCCCGCTGCCACACTCCTGGGAACCCTGCCCCTATGAGGTGCTTCCCAAACCCCCCCTTTGCCCCAGCTCACTCTTAGACTTCAGATCCATCTCTGTGCGCAGGCAGCTAGCTCATCTTCCTGACAAAGCTGGGGACAGTGGTGGCTGGTAGCAGTTGGTGGGAGACCTGGCTCCCTCCAAGCACCACTCATTAAAGCATTCACTTGACACTGGGTTGTCTTCTGTGTCCTGGTTGGGGGTAAGTAACAGAGGAGTTTGGGCACCTGATAAGGTTTAGTGGAGATCCCTGGACTGACAAGTTAGAAACTAGAAGGGTCTTTGGATGCATTGTTTTCTCTAAATATGTTTTCAGAATATCTTGTGACGAAGGGTTCCATGGTCAAGTAAGTACCGGGAATTCCTGTACCTTCTTGGGAATTCTTGGTGATCAGAGTATATTAAAGTCATTGATAAATCCTGCAATGAACAAATCTGTTTAGCTTTCTTTAGCCCATACTTATTTAACCTTTTACTGAGCGTTCTACTTCTGTCTTTTTACAGATTATAAACCAAGGCCAAAGTTATTATATTTCCTGTAAATTACAATAACAGACTAGAAAATATACTTGGAGTCCCATTTTCAATAACAAAACCCATAAACTACAAAGGAATAAAGCTCACACAAAAACATACTAATCCTACATGAAGAAAATGGTATCTCTCCTGAAGGATATAAGACCTAACTGAATGAAGACATAACCATGTACCTGAATGGAAAGATACTATTAAAAGCTGTTGATTCTCAGTTTAATCTTTAAGTTCATTGCCATTCAAAAGGATATTTTTAACAGAACTTGAAAATCCTAAATTCCTGTGCAATATATATTTTTAAAAACAGTGGAGGTGATGTATTTGACACTAAAGTAATTTTTCAAAGACCAAAAATGGAAAAACAAAAATGAGGCCCTACAGTGTAAATTGGTACAACCTCTTGGAAAGACAGTGTGATGTTTATCAAAAGTTAAAAGCTTTGTGATGTATGTGATCATTATGCTGTACACCTTAAACACAGTGCCGTATGTCATATCTCAGTAAAACTGGAAGAGGAAAAAAGAAGCAAGCAAACACAGTTTTTAAAAGTAAAAGGACTTCCCTGTCGGTCCAGTGGTTAAGACCCCTCACTTCCAATGCAGAGGGCATGGGTTTGATCCCTGACTGGAGAACTAAGATCCCACAAGCCATGCAACACAGCAAAAAAAAAAAAAAAGCATACACTTTTCCACTCAGCAAATACACCTCAAAGAATTTACACCACAAGTTTCTTTTTCCAATTCTGTGACAAAACTGAAAATGAAGCCTTGTTCAGTGCAGCAAAATGTGTGATGACTGGGAACACCCTCTGTGTCCATTACAAAGGACTAAAAGCCACTGTAAAATATGCAACAGTTTCCAAAAAAATTAGGCTTATCAATCTATGTCATTGAATAATATCCCAAAAAAATGTCAAATGAAAAACTGCAAAGCAGTGTGGTTAGAATCCTCCCATTTGGGCCAAATTACTCATAAGTGCTCAAATTCAAGCTATAGAGTATTTCTAGAAGGGTCCTCAGGAACTGATTCTGAACTACAAATCCCAACTACTAGGGCCTTTCACAATAAGACAAAACAAAGCCAAAGGTCACAGTGAACCAGATCCTCCTTTCCACACTGGCACCTGTAGACTTAGGGGCCACCAAGTTGGCAGCCTTAGGAAGTGTCTGGTGTTCAGCCCCCCTCCAGCCCATGTGGTAGCACCCGAAGCAGAAATAGTAGGTATCACCTTAGTGTCAGGGACCTCACGTCCATTCTCCATAGCAGAACAAGGCGGGCACATGGCAACAGCAGGGACCAGGCTGTAATGGCTGCAGAAAGAGGGCACCAGTTTGACCAAGGACACTCACTGGCCATACTCACACCCAGAGCAGGATAAGTACTGTCCCCAGGCCTCCTTCCTGTCCAGGCTGGGATCAAAGTCTAAGGGACCAGGAAAGAAACTGACATCAGATTGGGAGACTGAAAGTAGAAGAACTTTTGTTTACTACTGACTTGATTTTTGGCCTCGAACAAGACGATTTATCTTGGGGGTTAGGGTGGCACCTTTTAAAGATATATTCGTGTAAAGATACCATATGGACTTCTCAGGTGGCACAGTGGTAAAAAATCATCTATCAAACAGGAGACTCAAGAGATGCAGTTTCCATCCCTGGGTGGGGAAGACCCCCCCGGAGTAGGAAATGGCAACCCACTCTAGCATTCGTGCCTGGAAAATCCTGTGGACAGAGGAGACTGGCAGGCTCCAGTTCATGGGGTCACAAAGAGTATTTAGGCACAATTGAGTGCGTGTACATACACATACACAAAGAAACCATATACACTAATTGATAGATCTCCCTGGCTATCTATCTACAATGAAGGATGGAGTGGGTTCCCTGAATGTTCAGAAGAGATCCACAACTCCTGCTCCCTTTCTGGGCCCAGACAATCCGCCCATCCCTTGGTCCCCCTTCTCTGACACCCCCAGCATCCTATACCCAAGTTCCTGCTCCCTGAAGACTCAGTCTGACTTTCAAAAAAATTAACAGTGTTATTAAAATTTATGGAGAAGAAAATGGCAATCCACTCCAATATTCTTGCCTGGAAAAGCCCATGGACAGAGGAGCCTGGGGGGCTGCAGTCTATGGGGTTACATGACTGAGCATGCGCACACATGAGGAGGGTGGAGGGAGATGGGTTGGTAGCAATAAACTGGCAAAACTAAACAAAAATCAATACACCCTACAATTAATCTGTCTGAAGTATATAATTAAGGGGGTTTTAGTATATTCACAGAGTTATGCAGTCATGATCTAATTTTACAATATTTTCATACCCCCTAAAAGAAACTCCATACCCGGTAGCTGTCACTTCCTATTGATCCCAAGCCCCCATTCCCTGACAATCCTTTACCCTCAGCTCTAGGCAACAGATAATTTGCTTTCAGTCTCTCTAGATTTGCCTGTTGTGGACATTTCATGTAAATGGAGTCATATAATATGTGGTCTTTTGTGACCAATTCTTTTACTTAGCATAACATTCTCAAGGCTCATCCATGTTGTAATGACAGTTTGATCAGTTCTTTCCTTCTTATTGTCAATATTCCATTGTATGGATATACTACTCTGTTTATCCATTCATCAGCCAAAGGGCATTTGGGTTTCCATTTTGGTCTATTATGAGTAACGCTGCTGTGAACATTCATGAACAAGTTTTTGTGTGGACATCTTTTTAAATTCTCTGTGTATATATCTAGGGATAGAATTGCCGGATCATATGGTAACTCTATGTTTAACCATTTAAGCAACTGTCAGGCAGTTTTCCAAAGTGACTGCACCATTTGATATTCCCACCAACAAGGTATGAATGTTCCAATTTCTCCACATCTTCATCAACAGTTGTTATTATCTGTCTTTTTTTATTACAGCCATCCTAATAGGTGTAAATTCATGGTTTTGATGTGTATTTCCCTGGTGGAAAATGATGTTGAGGATCTCTTCATGCACTTATGGGGTATCTATATATCATCTTTGGATAAATGTCTGTTCAAGTCCTTGGCCCATTGTCTTCACTGGATTGACTCTGTTGAGTGATAAGACTTATGTATTCCAGATACAAATTCTTTATGATTTGCAAAAATTCCTTTCCATTGGGTGGGTTGTCTTTTCACTTTCTTAATGGTACCCTTTGAAGCACATTTTTAATTTTGATGATGTCCAAATTGTCTATTCTTTTTCTTATTGCCTGTGCTTTGAGAGGGACTTCCCATGTGGCATTAGTGGTAAAGAACCCACTTGCCAGTGCAGGAGACTTCGGAGACATGGGTTCGATCCCTGGGTCGGAAAGATCCCCCAGAGGAGGGCACAGCAACCCACTCCAGTATTCTTGCCTGGAGAATCCCATGGACAGACGTAACTGTCCATGGGGTCATAAAGAGTCAGACATGACTAAAGCCACTTAGCACCACGCACTCACACATGTGTTTTGAGAGCCATATCTAATAACCCATTTTCTAATTCAAGGTCATGAAGATTTATGCCTATGTTTTCATCTTAGAGTTTTATAAACATTTACAAAGTTTATAACTTAGTTATAAGCTTAAAAGTTTAAAATGCATAAGTTTTTTTTAATAAATTTAAAGTTTTTATAGCTAAAAGCTCTTCCATTCAGATTTTTGATCCACTTTGAGTTAATTTTTGTATATGGTTTGAAGTAAAGGTCCAACTTCATTCTTCTGCATATGGATATCCAACTATCCCAGCTCTATTTGTTGAAAAGACTATTCTTTCTCCATTGAGTCGTCTTGACTTTCTTGCTGAAAGTAAACTGACTATAAATATGAGGGTTTATTTCTAGACTCTCAATTTTATTCCCTGGGTATATATCATTCTTTATGCCAGTATCACAGTTTTGCTTACTGTAGCTTGGTAGTAAAATTTTAAATCAGGACTTGTGAGTCCTCCAACTTGTTCTTCTTTCAAGATTATTTTTGTTTTTCTAGATCCCTTGCATTTCCATATGAATTTTAGGATCAACTTGTCAACTTTTGCCTAAAAGAAAAGGAAACTGGCTGGGATTCTGATAGGGATTGCACTGCCTCCGTAGATCAATTTGAGGAGTATTGTCATCTTGACAGTATCAAATCTTTTGACCCATGAACATTTGGGTGTTTTAAATTTTATTTAGATTTTAATTTCTCTCAACAGTGTTTTATAGTTTTCAAGAGTATAAGTCTTACATTTCTTTTGTTAAATTTATATAGAAGTATTTTTTCTTTTTGTTGCTATTGTGAATGGAATTATTTTCTTTCTTTTTTGGATTGTTCATTGCTAGTGATGAGAAATACAATAGATTTCTGTACACTGTTCTTATATTCTACAACCTTGCTGAGCCGGTTTATTAGCTGTTATCTTTTTGTGTATATGAATTCCTAAGGACTTTTTATATACAAAATCATGTCATCTGTAAAATGCAGTTGTTTAGTTCTTCTTTTCCAATCTGGATACCTTTTATTTATTTTTATTGTGTTTATTTTTACAGTGTTAAACTGTGATGGGCACAGACATCCTGAGTCTGAGGAGGGGAAAACATCCAGTCTATCATCATTTAAGTATGATGTTAGCTGTGACTTTTTCATAGATGCCTTTTGCTAATTAGCAAGTTAAGGAAATTCCCTCTTATTCGTAGTTTCTTAAGCTTTTTTAAAAATCAAAGTTGTTGGATTTTGTCAAATGTATTTTCTGTGTCTGTTGAGATGATCAAAAGGTTTTTGTCTTTTACTCTATTAATAGTCTTTATTATTACTACATTAACTGATTTTCAGATGTTAAACCAATCTTACATTCTTGAGATAAATCTCACTTGTAGAGTCATTTTTACATATTGCTGGATTTTGTTTGCCAGTATTTTGTTGAGGACTTTTACATCTATGTTCATAAGAAATAGTGAGCTGAAGTTTTCTTTCCTTGTGATGTCTTTGTCCTCATTTTGTTATCTGGATAATTCCAGACAGTCTGACTTCCAGCCCTCACTTTTCTTCTGTCCCAACTTCCTTTAATTCCCTGGCTCTGCCAGGACTGTTCCAGGTAGTGAATGCATCTTGGGAATGCAAAATCATAGCCCCCACTGCTAGGGCAATAGCTGACATCACTCCTTATCATGGACTGCAGTCATCATCCCCTCCCCAGCCAAGTGGCTGGATACATTAGAATTCCTCACAGGAGAAAACTCTAAAAAAAAAAGAAAGAAAGAAAACTCTAGCACCAGGGCCGGAGCCAGGGGTAAGGGAAGGCAGCAGGCTTTGTAGGTGGGGCAGTGATTCTGTATTCAACCAAGGAAATTTGGTGACTTGTTCTCAGTTACTTATGCATAGCCGACTCTCAGGCTTCCCAAATGGTGCTAGTGGTAAAGAACCTGCCTGCTAATGCAGGAGACTGTAAGAGTCTTGGGTTTGACCCCTGGAGAAGAGTATGGCAGCCCACTCCAGTATTCTTACCCGGACAATCCCATGGACAGAGGAGCCTGGCGGGCTACAGTTCATAGTGTCTCAAAGAATCGGACACAACTGAAGCAACTTAGCACAGACACAGACAGCCCACTTCAACAAAAATTCCTCTCCCTGGAGCCTGCCTTCCATTCAAGTCCTATCCCTGTTCTGACTAATCTCTTACCTGTTCCTTACACTCAGCAGGCTCCAGCTATGCTGGGCTTCTGTTGATTTGTTTCTTCTCCGTATTGGAATCTTTGCACTTGCTCTTTCCTGGGGATGGAACCCATCACCCTAGATGTGCCCATGATGTTTTCCGTTCTTTCACATCTCAGCTCAAATCTTTCTGTTTCTACTGCTGCATAATAAATGACCATAAACTTAACATCTTAAAAACAACATCTATTTCTTATACTATGGTTCTGTAGGTTCAGAAGTCCAGGCTCTGACTGAGCTTCTACCTAGTGTCTCACAAGGCTGAAGTCAAGGTCTTGCCCAATGTGAGCTTTTATCTGGAGGCTCTGGCATAGAATCCACTTCCAGACATACCTGGGGGTATTAACAGAATTCAGTTCCGTTTGGCTGTAGTACCAAGGTCCCTGTTTCTTTGTTGGCTGTCACCCAGAGGTTTGTTCTGTTTCTATAGGCTGTCTATGTTACCTGGCTAGGAGCTCCTCCCTCTTCAAGGTCAGCAATGGTGCATTAAGTCCTCCTGCTTCAAATTTCTCTGACTTCTGTCTTTCTCTTCTGTAGCTAGCTGGAGAAGCTTCTCAGCTTTTAAGAGCTCATATGATTACATTTGGCCCATGTGAATAATTCAGGACAATCTCCCTGTCTCAACTGATCGGTGAACTTAATTACATCTGCAAAGTCCTTTTTGGCACATAACATTCATAGAGATTAGGGCATGGAATCTTTGGGGGTCATTATTCTCCTTACCAGAGTTCACCCTCTAGGCCTCAAAGGTGCACATCTGTCCCACAAGCAAAATGCATTTACTTCCTCCCAAGGTCCCTAAAAGTCTCATCCCATGGCAGCATCAAGTCAGAGTTAAAAAAAAAATCTCATAAATCTCATCAAACCAAAAGTCCCAAATCTCATTATCTAAATTAGATGCAGATGAGGCTCTGGGTATAATCCATTCTGGAGCACAATTCCTCCCATCTGTGGACCTATGAATCTAAAAACACAAGTCGTGGGAACTTCCATGGCAGTCCAGTGCTTAAGCCTCTGCGCTTCCAATGCAGGGGACTTAGGTTCAATCCCTGATTGAGGAATGAAGACCTCACATGCTGTGCCAGGTCACCAAAAAAGACAAAGAATGAAACAAGTCATGTACTCCAACATGCAATGCTGGGACATGCATTTTTTGTTGTTTAGTCTCTAAGTTGGGTCTACTCTTTTTCAACCCCATGGACTGTACCCTGCCAGGCTCCTGTCCATGAGATTTCCCAGACAAGAGTACTGGAGTGTGCTGCCATTTCCTTCTCCAGGGGATCTTTCTGACCCATGGATTGAACCTGAGTCTCCTGCACTGGCAGGCAAATTCTTTACCACTGAGCCACCAGGGAAGCCTGGGACATGCATCTGGTAATAGTAATAGACATTCTGGTTAAAAAAGAGGAGAAATGGAAAGCAAAAAGGAGTCACTGATCCAAAGCAATTTCAAAAACCAGCAATTCAGCAAACCAGCAATTTCAAACCAAATTTCTTTAGCTTTCTAGGCCTAAAAACAGTCCTCCATGATTTTATTCTGCCTTCTGAGCTGTCACTTCTGCCCTTTGAATCAGTCACCTTCCCTAAGCAGCCATTCCTGACTATCTTTTAGAACAGCCCCCAAAATTTTTTGTCACAACACACTGATTAATTTCTTAATAACACATATCCTGGTTTGGGGATGTCCTGGCTATTTGTTTATTTTTAATATTTCTTTATTTGTTCATTTTATTTATTTGGCTGAGCCAGGTCTTAGCTGTGGCCCGAGGGATCTTCCTTGCATCATTCATAATCTTTCTTTGCTAGGGATTAGCTCCAGAGCACGTGGGCACAGTAGTTGTGGCTTGCAGGCTTAGTTGCTCTCAGGCATGTAGAATTTTAGTTCCTTGATCAGGGATTGAACTCATGTCCCCTGCCTTGGAATTGCAGTCTTAACCACTGGACCACCCAGGAAGTCCCACAAAGATGAGTTTTAATGAAACTTTGTGGGTTAAGGGTCTTGTCAGTTGCATCTTTCACTGGTTAAAAATTTGGATGAGGGAATTCCCAGGGACTCTTCACTCGAACTGCAGGGAGCACAGGTTCAATTCCTGGTCGGGGAACTAAGATCCTGTATGCTGCACAGCACAACCAAAAATGCATTTTTTTAAAATCATTTGCCTGGAGTTTCTATATTCTCTTCCATTTCTGCTTTAAAAGTGGCCAATTGTTTTCTGAGTCATCTTTCTTACAGTAACTTGTCAGATGCACTCAACAGCAATCAGGGCATGCTACTAATATTCTCTTTCCCCAATTTTTTCCCTAAATCTCTAAACTCAGTTGGACATTATTTGTACTCTTAGTTCTATTTCCAGATTACCGTTGAAACAAATGCTTCACGTTTACATAACACACATCACCATCTTTCCAACTTCCAATGCTAGTTTCCTCATCAGCCACTGTCCGGATCCAAAGTTAATGACACACAACTCAGGTTTTTCTTTTTATTGTAGCAACACCTCACTTCTGGGTACTAGTTCTGTAACAGCTGGACTAGACTTAAGATAATGTGGTAAAAACCAACCTCCAAATATCAGTGGCTCCCAGCAGAAATTTCTCATTTACATTACACCTCACTTTACAGGTGGGCTACAGCTCAGTTTGATGTCCTGTTAATTAATGCTGGGTTTTAGGCTGAAGGAGTCTTCATCTGGCAATTGACAGGTTCGTGGCAGAAGAAAAAGAGATGGGAAGCTGCCAGACTACTCATTGGTGCTTAAAGCTTCTACTTGGAAGTGGTGTCTTAATATCTACTCAGATTCCAAAGCATGTTATATAGCCAAGCCTATTGTAAGTGAGCATGAATATATAATCCTCCTAACATGAGGGGCCCAATAGGAAGAACAGCATATATTTGGAATAATAATATAATCTACCACAGGGCTGTACCAGAAACGTCAATCACTGAGTTTGTCCATTCTTCCTTCATACACACTGTGCTGATGCGTTTTGTACCTTGTAACATCGCTCATACATCTTGTGTATGTGCTAAGTCACTTCAGTCGTGTTCAACTCTTTGTGACCCCATGGACTGTAGCCCACCAGGTTCCTCTGTCCCTGGGATTCTCCTGGCATACACCTTGGTCAAAGGTAAAATCTTGACTCAAGGTAGACAATTCCCAAGTAAGTCAATGTAGCCTGACTTAAACCAATCAGGTCCCTTTTCTTAAGAATCTGAACCATGACATATTCAGTGGCTGAGGAATAAGTGGAGAAGGCTGCAGCTGAAAGGTAGTGAACAAGATGGATTTGGAAAAGCCACAACTCACGCAGACCGTGTTCCTTAAAAGTTGGGCTGACAGCACCCAAGCCAGGATTTCAGTGAAAAAAACCTTCCCATGGCCCCTCACTCAGGTTGGTTTCCCTCACAGAAGGGGTATACACAAAGGAACTTGTAAAATCTCCAGTGCCTGGGTCCACTTGCCTACTAGGTCTGCTCCAAACCTGCCACTCACCTGTTCAGAAACCTTCCATGGGTCCCCACAGCCCACCGGAAAAGTTCAAATTACTGAACCCACCATCCGAGCCCTTGCTTGGCCGTCAAGCCAACTCTTCTGGGAAGTTCTGGATGGTGTCCTGAGACAAGTAAGCAGCCTTTCGGGGGTGGCGCTGTCCAGCACTGCCAAGCAGAAGGCACATGCTCTACGTGGACACCCAGCTGCGTAGACGTGGCAATCTCCGCGTCGGTTTGACAGTCTCTGTCAGATCCCCGTAGGTGCCATGGGTTGTCAACTTCAGTTGATTCTGAAGGCAGAAAAGTGAGAGAGTGGATAAAGGCGACCAACAGGACAGGATTCCGCTGAAGAAGCAGGCCCGTAGGGGAAGAGACGGAGAGTGGAGAATCAGGGAAGCCCAGAGTCCAAATCAGTCTTCCACTGGGGCAGGATCCTTCCGGTCTCGGTTTCCCCATTGGGTGGACATCCAGAGTGTTTGCAGGCTGCTAAAAACGAGGGGCTTCCTCCTGCAGGCGTCTAGTTTCTTCTGTACACTGGACACAGGACCTCAAGCAGGACTAAAGTGTGGGTACACTCCCGGACTCTCTAGAACCCGCAATTTCCGGCTGCTAGGGGGCGGGACCCGGCCACGCCTTCTCTCATGAGGTCCCCAGCCCCTACCCTCACGGGTCTCTCCCAGGCCAGCCCCCTTCCGCCTTATTAGGCTTTTGATCACGCCCCTTGCGCTCTGTGATCCAATCGCTTTTCGGTGCGACTGCGGTCTCGCTCTGAGGCCCCGCCCACATCTAATTGGAGTTTAATTCCGGATGCTCACTCCTTCAGGACGCCCTGCGGACCAATCATGATGCTCTTCAGGAACAACATTTAGGTCCGCTGGCCAATCCTAGCGGTCCGTTTTCTAAGTGTCTGCCCAGCCACCCCCCCAGCCACGCCCCGTACGTTCGGTGCCAAGTGTAACCCTCGGACCTGGCGCAGGCCCCGCGCAACCGCCGCTTCCGGGCCACCGGGAGGCGCTGCAGGCGGTCGCCCAGCCTCGGGTGGAGGCGAGGCAGGTCCGGTTGCACGTCACTGCGGCCCAATCCCGCCCCCTGGTCCCACCCAGCCCGGGTCCAGGGGCGGGGTGCGAGTCTGCACCAACTTCCACTGGCCCATCACTTCCTTGGCTCGCGTCGCCCCGGAGCCCACGTGTGTACCCCATACTTGGCGGCCGAAGCAAGCGGTACATCTTGGCAGCCAGGAGCAGCGGCGGCGACCAGTGGGATCGAAGGTGGGATGGGACGAGGCGGCTGGAGCCCCGCCCCCCAGACCTTGGTCAGGGGTCAGGCCCTGCCCCATTCCTACCAGGCTTCGGAGGCAGGAGCCCTGAAACCAAGTGTCTGGGGACAGGCGCTACATCCAGCTCCAGAAACCAGGCAGGGCGCTTGGAACTCTTAGAAATTTCGAGCTGGAGTCTGGAACTCAGGTGAGTCATAGAAACTCAGCTCCTCGGCCTATTCTACCCGCTTCAGCCACAAGACCCCTGAGAAACAAGGTGTGGGCTGATTCAGAGTGCCTCCCTCTCTAATCTGAACTCTTATATAAAAGGCAATGCCATGCCAAGTGGGGAGAGGGAGCGGGTGACTGGGAGATTGGCATTGACAAATATACACTATTGCTCTGGGTTTTTGTTCAGTTGCTCAGTCCTGTCTAACTCTTTGCACCCCATGGACTGCCGCGCGCCAGGCTTCCCTGTCACTATTGTTACACTATTGTTACTATGTATAAAATAACTAAGAGAACCTACTGCATAACTCAGGAAACCCTATTCTTTGCTCTGTGGTGACTTTAAATGCGAAGGAAATCCAAAACAGAGGGGATAAATGTATACATACAGCTGATTCACTTTGCTGTACAGTAGAACATTGTAAAGCAACTATACTCCAATAAAAATTAATTTAAAAAAATAAATAAATGGGGACTTCCCTTGGTCCAGTGGTTAAGAATCTGCCTGCCAATGCAGGAAACGTGGGTTTGATCCCTGGTCTAGGAAGACCCCACATGCCTTGGGGCAACTAAGCCCCCGCAGCCTGGAGCCTGTGCTCCACAAGAGAAGCCCCAGATAGGAGAAGCCTGTCCACCAAAACTAAAGAGTAGCCCCTGCTCACCGCAACTAGAGAAAACTTGAGTGCAGCAACAAAGACCCAGCACAGTCAAAAATAAGTAAATTAAATAAATAAATAAATAAAAAGAAAAGGCAATGCTTTTTTTTTCTGAGCACAAGGCCTGGCCTGTTGAACCCTCTGCCTGGCAACCTCTTCACTGATTCTTCCCATAACCAGCCATTGGACTCCTCGCTTCCCATTGGACTCAAATATAGCCATCTCTGAGACAGGCCCTTCCTTGTCCACTGTATCCAAAGTAACAGACTCAGTTCCTTTTTCACAGTACCTCTTCTTCTTGGCCTCAGGAATGCCCATAGATGCCACACACGCATCCCTGTGTCCCAGCCTGGCCTGGCTCAGCCTCACTGCTTTGGGCTTAGGTCCTCACAATGCTCTTTCCCCAGGGACAGTACTGAGCCACATGTGGGTGTCACCTCCTCCAGGCCCCACCCATTCTCATGGGAGAGGAGAAGGGCACTGCCAGCCTGGCGTGGTCACCTGAGACAGTCTGATTTGAGTCTGCCTGGGCTGGGTCTCTCCCCCAGGGTGGCCGGGAGGTAGGAAGGCTGGATACCTGAAGGCCCTGGACCAGACTTTTCAAGGACACACGTGCACAGGGGAATCTCCAAGCTTTTTTTTTTTTTTTTAATTTCTTACAAAACCACATGTCCCTGCCAAACAGGACACTGCAGGCCTGCCCCCAAGCACTGTGACCCAGGGGGGGAGGCCCCCATGGATGAGTGGCTGCCAACCCCAGAAGAACTGTCTGCCCCTCTGCACAAGGCCACTGTGAGGAAAGAGTCTGGCTGGAGGCTCTGTCCTGCCCACCCTCAGCTGCTGGGGGAGAAGGCAGCCCCTGGGTCCCTGGTGCTCTTAGTGTCTGCAAGGGAAGGCGGAAGAAGAGGGTCTGAGGGGAGGAGAAGAGGCTGGGGTCGGGGGTGGGGCAGGCCAGGGGGCAGGCCCATGGCATCTCACCAGGAATACTCAGCGCTGTCAAACCAACGTGGAGATGACAATGATGACCACCAGAATGAGGACAATGATGGACACACAGATGGCAATAAAGACTTTCTTCTGTGGGAGAGGAAGTGGGGTGGTGGGGGTGGGTGTCAGGGAAACTCAGGAGTGGAGGGAGGGCCACCCAGGGGGGAGGGGTGGCGGGGGGGAAGGGCGGAGGCTCACCTTGCGCGCCTTCTTCTGGTTCTCCAGGGCCACCTTGACATGTTCCTGCCCACGTTCCACATAGTCGGCTGAGCTCAGAATGTTCTTCTCAATTCGGTTGATCATCTCCCCCTGCTCGGAAGAGGAGGCGGTTCAGGCAGGAAGGAATGACTGGGGGCGGAAGGCCCAGCAGTTCCTCTGCCCACCCCAACCACAGAGGACTGAAGGACACTCCTGGCAGAAAACGGTGCACTAAGAGGTGGGGACAGGACCGCATCCGACAGAAGTCCCCACGCCTGGGGATGGCTTCCAGGCTCCCTCCTACCGTATGCTCCCTTCTGTCCTGCGCTCTCGCCCCATACAATTTCTACTCGCAGTGCCGGCTGGGAGCCGAGCACCTTGAATGGCTCATATGTTTTCACAGAGGGTGAACTTTTGTCCCCTCGCAAATCTGTCTGAAGTCCCTTGTTCTTCAGGCCTCTTTCTGAGCTGCTGGGAAACCCTCCCTGTCGCTGCCTCCTCACGGTACCACCAGCCTTCAGATCCTGAACTCCTACCAAGTGAATCTCTCCCCCAGGACTCCCAGCTGCAAAAGGGCATTGGAGTCAGCTCCTCCCAGATGGGGCTGGAAGCTCCCCTTATCATGAGATAAGGGCCGGGGGAAGAATACCACCTCCTACCCCATCCTCGTCTACATTTTAGGAGGCAGGCTCCTCTAGGGGGCAACTGAAGAGCTCTTAGGTGTATAAGAATGGATTCTGCTGCTGGAGGAGGAGCCAGGGTGGGGGCCACACCTGGTGTGGGCTCCAGTTCAAGGGGTGGGGTACAAGGCATAGAGCAGTAGTCATCTGAGTAGCTACTGAGGAGGATGAAACCTGGGGACACAGCTAAGGATGGAACTAAGGGCCAGTCTGGAGGGTAACAAAAGCCTTGGTGCAAGAGGCTAAGGGTGGAGGCAGGCTGACTGTCATGACACGCTCTCACATCTGGGGGCTGGATCAAGCCCAGCCAGTGACCTCGGGCACCCACCTGTATCTCCACTTCAGTGGCCAAAAAAGTGAAAATCTCATGAAGTTCACGGATACTTCGCTCCAGCTGCTGGATCTCGCTGTGCCGGGCCGAGATCTCATTTAGGGCCTGTCGAGTCACTTGTGTGTCCTTCAGTATCTGCAGAGTGGACAGGAGCGATGGGACAGGTCACAAAGAAATCAGCAGCACGTTTAGTAGTTCCTGTTCAGCTTCGGGGCAGCTCTCAGGCCTAGAACTGGGGCCCAGACCCTAATGAGGGATGCCAGGCAGGCTAATATGTTCTCTTCTGGGCCTCAGGATTCCCTCCATGAAAAAGGGCCAGGAGGGCTTCCCTGGTGGCTCAGTGGTAAAGAATCCGCCTGCTAATGCATGAGACACCAGTTCCATCCCTGATCGGAGAAGATCCCACCTGCTGAGAAGCAACTAGGCCCATGCACCACAACTACTACGCCTGTGCTCTAGAGCCCCAAAACCACAACTGTCTGAGCCCATGGGCTGTAGCGCCTGTGCTCCACAACAAGAGAAGCCACTGCAAGGAGAAGTCCACACACCGCAACTGGAGAATAGCCCCTGCTCGCTGCAGCTAGAGAAAAGCCCGCAGAGCAACGAGGACCCAGCACAGCCAAAAATAAATAAATAATTCTTTTTTAAAAAGGGGTCAGGACTCAGAGAGAACGGGGGGCCCAGCAGAGGGAGGCTGGCAGCGGCCACTCACATTGGACACAAACACCTCGCTCTGCCCGCTGTCCAGCATCTGCTCCAGCTCCTCGTCAGATACCATTCCAGCATTTGCTGTGAAGGAAAAGGCCAGGCTCAGAGCCGGTTGGGTCAGCTGACCCTGTGTGCCGGGCACCACAACTCACTGATCTTCAGCTGCCTCCGAATCCGCTCCACGTTCTTCTCCCGGTATTCAGACTGCATTGAGTTGCACTTGTTGATGAGCTCCACGAATTGCTGGGACAGGATCCCGTGCTAAGGAGGGAGAAGAGAAGCTGGGGACCCCTGCGAGGATCCCTGCCTGGTCTGGGCCTCAGTATCCCCTTGGGTACAGTGAGCAAAGAGCATGAGCTCAGAGGTGCCTGTGGCCTTGACCTCCTTGAAAGGCTCCCCTGGTCTCTCAAAATAAAAGCCAAAGCCCTAAAAAAAAAACAAAAAGTCAAAGCCCGTCCCAGGGCCTACAAGGCCCTACAGGACTCGCCCCTTCCGATATTCCCTCTTTCATCTTACCTCCCCACACTGTTTGCCTCACTCCTTCCCTCCAACCACAGTGGGCTCCTGACTCCTCCCTGATCAGTACACAGCCCCACCTCAGGCCTCTGAAGTTGCCATTTCTTCAGCCCAGAATGTTCAGGCCCCACAGAAGCCTAGAAGTCTTTGTTCCAGTGTCACCTTCAGAAGTTTTCTCCACCTTGTTGGAACCTGCCTTCTCCCACTGTTCTCAATCTCTCTTCTCTTTTCCCTTCATACTTCTATGTTCTACAATAACTGACTGATTTATTATGGTCACTGTCTCTCCCTACTGGAATAAAATCTGCATGAGGATAGAGATCATTTGTTGACAGCTGTTTCCTAAACAGCTAGAAAAGGGTCTGGCATACAGTAGGCCCTCGAAGAATATTAGTGGAATGCTTGCTGAACACCAGCATCCCTGCTTAGACTAAAGGTGTGCCAGGATACCTGGAGGTCAGCTGATTGCCCAGATTTTGCAGGCCCACCTGGGCACTCAGCCTCTCACACAATGACTACCACAAGCCCCCCACCCCCTACCCCCAGAAATGCCTTCCCTGCTTGTCCATTTTCCTGATGTCTAAAATCTGCTCATTCCTTGGAATTCCTTTCTCTAAGACACATCTGCTGTCCTGGGTTCAGCTGCACCCTTTCAAGATGCCCAAATTGCAGGAGGTGCAGTTCTTAAGGCCCTAGCCTACTGTGTTCCCCCTTTGTTTGGAAAAGTAATAAAGCTACTCTTTCCTTCTCTTCCATTAAAAAAAAATATGCCCAAATTGTTCAATCTTCAATCTAGGGTCTTGGCTGAGTTCTGGGCCCACCTACTCCAAATCTGATCTCCAAGAACACCAAACCATGCCTCTCTGGGCACCCAGAGGACACTGCTCAAACCATCTCAAATCTCCTTATTAAGATGATGATTCTGAAATAGAACTGCCATATTACCTAGCAATCCCACTTCTGGGCATACACACCGAGGAAACCAGGTCTGAAAGAGACACGTGCACCCCCAATGTTCATCGCAGCACTGTTTATAATAGCCAGGACATGGAAGCAACCTAGATGCCCATCAGCAGACAAATGGATAAAGGGGAGGGAGGTGGGAGTGGGGATCGGGATGGGGAACACATGTAAATCCATGGCTGATTCATGTCAATGTATGGCAAAAACCACTACAATACTGTAAAGGAATTAGCCTCCAACTAATAAAAATAAATGGGGAAAAAAAAAAAGATGATGATTCAGTGACCTTCCCTCTCCCGGCCCCTCCTGACCCACCAGGGAAGTTCCTCTTCCTGACTTCTTGAATTCTGTCCCTGGGGCAGAGGATGTCCCATCACATGGGTAGGGAACCACCCGGTCACTTGACTGCACCCTCTTCTTCCCGGGCAGAGCCATGAACTACCGAATCCTACCTGAGTAATGTCTTTGTCATCTATGCAAGCTTAACTCCCCATCTTGGCTTCTAGAGAGTATATCTCCTACAGCCGAGCCCAGATCATGTCTGGGGTCTCAGCAACTTCTCACTGAATGGAGGAGAAGAAGGCAAGGTGTTATAATGGATTGGAAGTCAGGAGACCTGGGTTCTTCACCTTGGGGTGAATCCTTTTTTATCTCTGAGCCTCAGTTTCCTCATTTGGAAAATCATCAGGTTGGATTTAATGACCTCCAAGAGCCCTGCCTTCTTACATCTGCCATCTAATGATCTATTGAACACTTGCTAAAATGTCATACTTCTGGGAATAATGAACCCACCTGGGTTTTTCTCATTCTTGTGTTGACGGAGTTATAATTCTCATCAGCTTCCTCCTTCTGGGGCTCTATGGCTGTGGAAAGACACAAGAGTATTGGTAGAGGAGGGGGTTTGACTCTGGCTTCTGAAATTCATTTGAGGACTGGGACCCAGCCACCCCGGCATACAATAGAGAGAGATACAATATCTCCACAGGGCTTTTTTTTTTTTTTTTGGAAATAAAATTCATCATAAAATGACTACTTCTGAGCCTCTGACAGCCAAAAGTATATTTTTCTTTGCAATAAATACACCAGAGAATTTCCACATGTTTGGAGAAGGTTTCTAACAAAAGCCACATCTTCCCGCCCCAAGAATACACACTGGGCAGCAAGAATTGTAGGAGTACAGATGATCCTTGCACAACTGTGTGGGTCCATTTATACCTGAATTTTCAGAAAATAAATGCATACTACAGTACTACACAATCCACAGTTGCATGAATCCACCCATGCAGAACCTGGGATGTGGAAGGCAGACTATACAGTTATATGTAGATAATGACCTTCAGGTGGGGGTGGCAACACTAACCTCTGCCTTGGACAAAGGTCAACTGGAAATGGTTTCATTATAAACAAGGGAACTTGAGAGGCAGGCATATGCTGTGGAAAGAACTTTGAACTGGAAGCCAGGAGATGGAGATTCTAGACGTTGGTCTGCTGTGTGACCTGGATATATATCACTGGCCTCTCTGGACCACACACTCCCCAGATATACCAGGAGTTGGGCAGGATCAGAGGAAAGTATCTGGCTGATGTCCTAGGAGCTCACCCTTCAGCTGCGCGCGGATGTCCCTCCCTAGCTGTTTGATCTCGTCGCGCAGGTTCTGCAGGTCCTGCTTCATGCCTAAACAAGAGAAAGCCATGATGCCCAAATAGCAACCTCTACCTCAACAAATCTCCCTGGCCACCACCTGTGCAGAACTACAACCCCCACAAGCCCGCCGGTTGAGCATGCGTTTTGCACCCGGGGTTTCACTCACTCTCCTCGGGAAGGGGCGTGGCCAGGATGGTGACCTGCTGCTTCTCCAACTCTCGGACTTTATTCTCTAGCTTGACGATAGTCTGCCGAATTGTCCCAACCTGGGGAGTATGACCGAGAAGGCTGAGGGAGATATGGGGGGTGCTCCTGGCTGCTCTGCTTCTCGGGCCCTCCAGCCCCTTCGTGAATCCAGACCGAGACTCCAGCCTCTTACCTTCTGGAAGAACTCATCGTCCGGGCTCCCCAGCCGTGCAGTACCCGGGTGTACCACCAGCGCGACTCGCTCCTTGTCTTCATCGTCGGAACTGTCATCCCCCTGCCAGGGCCGGGGTCACTGGCATCACTTCCTTGCTACTGCTCTCCCCCAGTAGAACTCATGGGCTTCCGGGACTTTCCTTCCTAGCCCACAGTCATCCCTCCCGGCCCCGAGGACCAGGAGTCCTGCATTCCGGCAGACCCCATCCCGTCCACCCATCCCCAACCCTGCTGCGCCAAATTCTCACCTGCCTCAGCTCGTGGGTCCTGTCCCGCATGGCGGCCCGAGATCCCTCTCGCCGGCGCCGGAGCCCGGCGGGCCTCAAGATTCTAAGTTTGGAACTCCCGTACCAAACTCACACTCTGACACTCCCCTCGCCCTCACCCTGAAGACCCCAAATCCCCCCCCCAAGAGTCGCTAGAGGCTCTGTCCCTGGCACCATTCACAGTTTCAAAGGGAAGGAGCCGACCTCGGGGACCCCCAAGATTCCACAGGTTGGAATTCCCTTTTCTTTCCCCCCCGCCCTCTCCTGTAGCCTCGGCCCCGCCCCCTCTGGAAAGACTGGAGCATGCGCACCGGATCGTGTCCCTTCCCCACCCCAGGGAAAGGCCGAGGTCGGAAGCCGCAGCGCCCCGAACGGAAGCGAAATTGCCAGGACGTGAGAACCCGCCCCCTTTGCCGGAACTATCGCATCTTCCAGCGGAAATCTTGTTGCCAAAAGGGGTGGGAATGCGTCATTGGTACGTGATATGAGAGGCCCCTCATCTCGCATCACCCCATAGTGCAAACCCCACCGCGCACGTCACGTGACCTGCCTGGTCCCAGCCTCTCAGACCATAGAACGTGACGCTTCGACTGTCACGTGTCTCGGCCCTGTCAACTCCATCTCTGGAACACCTATCTCCCCACGACGTCCTCTACACCCCGCGCCCGAGTTACCTCCCTTCAGAACCCCCGCGAGGCGGGGAGGGGGCGCTGACTATCCCCAGAGACAGTGGGTGGTAGGACCCAGGCTGAATCCGGCTTTCTTTCTTTTGGGTCCGCGAGTGTGGGCAGACTGACGACTTAGAATTTGGAGCTGTCAACATCATGAGACCTTGAAATTCAGAAAAGAATAAGATCCAGCGTCAGAGAATTGCAGGGTTTTGTAGGCAGAGCATCTGGGGGTGGGAAGTGACCTCACCCGAGGCGGAACTCTCTTCTCCCGCATACTCCTGGCACAGTTTCTGACAGGTGGGCGGCTGGCTGGCGCCCGGCTTGAACACTGCAGTCCCGCTGCACTCACCACCTTCAAGCAGGGCATTTCAGGGCAGCTCGGGCTGAGAAAAGAGTCTGTTACATTGAGCAGCATGTCACTTAGACAACCCCCTCCCCAGACCCCCACCTTGCACTGGGGTCTACCCTCTGGAGCCCACAAAAATATGCCATATTGTTGTGGCCTGTGAGTTGCTAAAGTGAGGGCATGACTGTGGACAGAGAAGCCTGGTGGGCTACAGTCCATGGGGTCACAAAGAGTCGGACACGACTGAGTGACTAACACACACAAACTGTAGCCCACCAGGCTCCTCTGTCCATACAATTTTCCAGGCAAGAATACCAGATCGGGTTGCCATTTCCTCCTCCAGAGGATCTTCCCAACCCAGGGATCAAACCAAGCATCTCTTGTGTCTCCTTCCTTGGCAGATTCTTTACCACTGAACCAACTGGGAAACCCAGCACATGTTAGGCCCTCAGTAGATATTTGTTGATAGAGTCTTAGCCTCTCATATAACTGAAGATGAAGCTTATGGTTCCCTGGTCTCTTTTATGCTTCAGGCTGTTGGTGACACTTCCCTAACCCTGACCCTGTAGACATTCATTCATTCAGTGGATATTTATTGTATGGGCCAGACACTGTTTTAGGGCCAGAGATATATCAGGGCAGACAAGAATGCCTTGCCCTTTTGGAACCCACCTTCTATAGAAGGATGCCCCAAGGTCACTCAGTGAGTCTCAGAATAGCTGAGAAGAATATCAGTTCTCCTGGATCACAGGATGTCAACAGCCTGGGTGTCTCTGCCAGGGATTCCATGCTGCCACTACTCCTCCAGGGTCTTTCTTCCCCTTTTCATCTCCTGAGCCCCACCATGCACCAGATCCTTGCCAACTCCTGCCCATCTCTCATGTCTTCACTTGGATCTGACATACCATGTATTTTGCTAATTTGTGTTGTCTGTTGTCTGCCTCCACCCCTCCTCTCCACCCTACTAGAATGTAAGCTCCAAGAGGACAGGGATTTTCACCTTAATTATTCACTGCCGTGTCTCCAGCACCTGCAACACTGCCTGGCACATAGTAGCTGGTTAATAAATACTCATGAAGGAATGAATTTTTTTTTTTAACCACACCATGCAGCTTGAGGTATCTTAGTTCCTCAGCCAGAGATGGAATCCAGATCCTTGGCAGTGAAGCGCAGAGTCCTGACCACTGGACTGCCAGGGAATTCCCAACTTCTTTTGTTTTTTTTAATTAATTTATTTGACTGCATCGGGTGTTAGTTGCAGCACTCGAGATCTTCGCTGTGTCATGGAGAATCTTCTGTTGTGGTGCATAGACTCTCTAGTTGTAGCATTTGGGCTTCTTGTCTGGTTGTTTGGAGGGCTCCCGAGTTTGCAGGCTTAGAAGCTGCCCGACGTGGGCTTAGTTGCCCCCCAGCATGTGGGTTCTAAAGCCCCCAGTTAGGGTTTGAACCTGTGTCCCCTGCATGGCAGGTGGATTCTTAACCACTCAACGACCAGGGAAGTCTGCCCAATTTCTTTTTAATTGACATTTACTTAGCATTTACTATGTGCCAGGCACTGATATACGTACTTAATAAAAATTTACTCATTTCATCCTTATGTACATTCTGTGAGGTTGGTACTATATTACTGTCCTCATTTTACAGAGGAGGAGGCTAAGACACAGAGGCAGTAAGTAACTTGCCCAAAGTTACACACTAGCAAATATGAGAGCCAGGATTTGGAACCAGAGAGGAAGCTCCAGACTCCATGCTCTTAACAAGTACACCATGATCCAAGAAAAACACCAGCCAGGAGTGGCTCCCTGTGTCCTACTCACCCTTGGGGGACTTGCTGCCACCTATTAATGCTCTACTTTGGATCATCTGGTGACGAGGTGGGGGCCAACGGCAAAACGAGTCTCTTCCCTTCCCCCGTCATAGGGTCTCTCTTCCACATCTGTTGGGTGGAAACAGAGTGCTGGGGAGGTTGTTGGTCCTCTTCTCATTCCCTGTTTGCTGTCTTCCCAAGAGCCAAGGGCTTTCCTGGTGGCTCAGATAGTAAAGAATCTGCCTGCAATGCAGGAGACCTGGGTTCGATCCCTGGGTTGGGAAGTTTCCCTGGAGAAGGATATGATTACCCAGTTCAGTGTTCTTGCTGGGAATATTCCATGGACAGAGGAGCCTGGTGGGCTACAGTCCATGGGGTTGCAAAAAGTTGGACATGACTAAAAGACTAAGTACACATACACACCGAGAACCAAAGATATCCATGCATGGGTCACATAAAGGGCTTCTGTGCACCCTCAAATGTCTCTGAGGCTGGTTTTGTGCTGAAACCCCAAGGGCTACAGAGATGAAGCCCCCACCATTCTCTCCTCATGATGTGTCCTGAGCTTGACCTTAATCATGCCCTAGAGTGCCACCTGGGAACCTCTTGTCTCTCATGGCTTTAATCGACATCCATATTTGGCTCCCAAATCCATATCTCCAGCCCCCAGTTTTCTCCGAAGCTCTAGAACTCTGAATCCATTTGCCTTCTGGACATCCCCTCCTGGAGTTCCATGAATGTCTTAAACTCACCATGTTCCAAACACCACACATCATCTCCCCCGAGAATCTCCTAAATTAACTTCTTGTTCTTCCTATTTCCTTTCTGTGTGGATGACACCAGGTCACCTGTGCCATAACCTTGGCCTGGAACTTCATTCTGAAGGTGATGCATCACACAGCTAGTTTGGATAACCCCCATAAAAATACTAGAAAAAAATGGACAAAATTCTTTATAACTCATAATGAGAAAGACCTTTCTAACTATGCTCAAAATTCAGAAACTACACTCAATTGTTTATAATAAACTATAAGGAAAGAGAATCTGGAAAAACACATATATATGTATAATTGAATCACTTTGTTGTACAGCTGAAACTAACACAGCATTGTAAATCAAACTTCAATTAAAAAATAAAAGCACATTAGAAAGTGAAAGTGAAAGTCTCTCAGTCGTGTCCAGCTCTTTTCGACCCCATAGACTAAACGGTCCATGCAATTCTCCAGGCTAGAATATTGGAGTAGGTAGCCTTTCCCTTCTTCAGGGGATCTTCCCAACCCAGAGATGGAACCCAGGTCTCCCACATTGCAGGCAGATTCTTTACCAGCTGAGCCACAATGGATATTAAAAAATCAGAAAATGTAAAATAGAATATTAATATATTTGTCTACATGAAAAAGTTTTCATGGCAAAAAAATGAAAACACAATCAAAAGACAAATTGGGAAAATAATATTTGCAATTCTTATCATACACAAAGGGCTAATCTCCCTACTATTTAAAGAGCTCCATGTAGTGATAAGAAAGACCAACAGTTCAATAAAAAACAACGGCCAGAGAACATGACAGATCACAAAAAAAGACAATAAAGACTTAAAATAAGCAGATGTTCATTTTCGCATGTAAGAGAAGTGAAAATTAAGATAATATTGAGATATATTGCATTAGCAACATTTTTTTTTTTTCTTTTTTGGCCGGAATGCCAAAGTTTGTGGGATCCCAGTTCCCTAACCAGGAATGGAACCCATGCCCCCTGCAGAGGAAGCACAGTGTCTTAACCACTGGACCGCCAGGGAAGTCTAACAAAATTCCTGTTTGGCAACCCAGTCTTTTGGCAAAACTGTGGGGAAACAAGGACTTTCACTTGTTGATGGGGCCTGCAAAATGATACAACCTAGACCATATTTGTCAAAATTCTGAGTGCATATACTGTTTCTTTTTTAAAATATTTGTTTATTTGGCTGTGGAGGGTCTTCATTGGGGCATGCAAAATCTTTTATTTGTGTCACGTGGGATGTAATTCTCTGACCAAGGATCAAACCTGGGCCCCCTGCACTGGAAGTGCAGAGTCTTAGCCACTGAACCACCAGGGAAGTCCCCATATATTGTTTCTGAATTCTGAATGCATGTATTGTTTCTCCAGATTCTAAGGACAGCCAGGTGGTTTTTCTGCTGGTCTCATCTTATTCACGTAGCAACAATCAACTTGTACCTTGGCTGGAGTTAGGTGGCCCATGATGATCTTTCTCACATTTACATGTCTGGGACCTAAGCTCTGATGGTCCAGTTGACCAACACAGCTGAACCACACACTCTCTCTTTGTGGTATTTCAACCTGGGTTTCTTCAGAGTATAGCAGCCTCAGCATTCCAAGAGGGTGGGAGGAGAAGCTTCAAGATCTCTTGAGGCCCTGCTCAGAAGCTGCACACTACTTGCACCATATTCTATTAGTCAA